TGCTGTCCATTTCCTCTGATCCTCCTTGAGATGGTTCTACTCCTTCATTGGAGTCCAGCTGTGTTTAATTAAACTGTTGGACTTGATTAGGAAAGGCACACACACTGTCTATATAAGACCTTACAGCTCACAGTGCATGTCAGAGCAAATGAGAATCATGAGGTCGAAGGAAACTGCCCAGGAGCTCAGAGACAGAATTGTGGCAAGGCACAGATCTGGCCAGGTTACAAAAGAATTTCTGCAGCACTCAAGGTTCCTAAGAGCACAGTAGCCTCCATAATCCTTAAAGGAAGAAGTTTGGGACGACCAGAACTCTTCCTAGACCTGGCCGTCCAGCCAAACTGAGCAATCGTGGGAGAAGAGCCTTGGTGAGAGAGGTAAAGAAGAACCCAAAGATCACTGTGGCTGAGTTCCAGAGATGCAGTAGGGAGATGGAGAAAGTTCCAGAAAGTCAACTATCACTGCAGCCTCCACCAGTCGGGGCTTTATGGCAGAGTGGCCCAACAGAAGCCTCTCCTCAGTGCAAGACATATGAAAGCCCGCATAGATTTTGCCAAAAAACACATGAAGACTCCCAACTATGAGAAATAAGATTCTCTGGCCTGCTGAGACCAAGATTGAACTTTTTGGCGTTAATTCTTAAGCGGTAAGTGTGGGAGAAAACCACGCACTGCTCATCACCTGCCCAATACAATCCCAACAGTGAAACATGGTGGTAGGCAGCATCATGCTATGGGGGTGTTTTTCAGCTGCAGGGACAGGACGACTGGTTGCAATTGAAGGAAAGATGAATGCGGCCAAGTACAGAGAATCTGGAAGAAAAACCTCTTCCAGAGTGCTCAGGACCTCAGACTGGGCCGAAGGTTCACCTTCCAACAAGACAATGACCCTAAGCACACAGCTAAAATAACAAAGGAGTGGCTTCAGAACAACTCTGTGACCATTCTTGACTGGCCCAGCCAGAGCCCTGACCTAAACCCAATTGAGCATCTCTGGAGAGACCTGAAAATGGCTGTCCACCAACATTCACCATCCAACCTGACAGAAGTGGAGAGGATCTGCAAGGAAGAATAGCAGAGGATCCCCAAATCCAGGTGTGAAAAACTTGTTGCATCATTCCCAAGAAGACTCATGGCTGTACTAGCTCAAAAGGTGCTTCTACTCAATACTGAGCAAAGGGTCTGAATACTTATGACCATGTGATGTTTCAGTTTTTCTTTTTTAATAAATTTGCAAAAATTTCTACATTTCTGTTTTTTTCTGTCAAGATGGGCTGCTGAGTGACATTAATGAGAAAATAAAATGAACTTTTTTGATTTTAGCAAATGGCTGCAATGAAACAAAGAGTGAAAAATTTAAAGGGGTCTGCATACTTTCTGTACCCACTGTATTAACTACACAATGAAGAAAAAAAAACTGTCACGGCTTGGTTTGGTTTAGGAAAAGATCATGATTTGGGTTAAAATAAGTACTTCCGGGAGTGTGTCTATGTTCCCACAGCCCTATGTTCCCCTTTTATACCCTTTCAGAACGCTTTGCATCCACGTTCCACGGCGTCTTCACATTTATCCACCTCAGCGATCGTTTTTGTAAAGCATCGTTTTCAGTTACGGAATTCACCGTTCTAATGTGGACGGAAGGGCTAACCGGATAAATATTACCCGGGTTAGTGTGGACATGGGCTTATGGGAACATATAAGACTGTGGGAAAATAGGGCCTAATTTTCAAAACATTCTTAGAAATGTGGGAACATAGGGCTGACCCCGTACTTCCTCAACATTACACAGTCTTTGTTGTCATGGTTACAATATGAACAGCTAGTTTCACATCGAACACCGCTCTCCTGTATCATATAATTATCCATCCACCACAACCTCCTCCTCTCGTGGACTTTGTCTCTCTTAATACTTACATCACTGCACTTTTCCCTTTGCTCCTGTCATCATTATTACAACCACTAGATGTCACCTAGCAACAAAACCTAACTATGGGTCATAATAACCAGCTGCACAGACGACATGTGGGCTTGTTTCTTACAGGACAGTCGGAAATGTGTAGCTTAGAAATGAGAGTATCATCCACCACTGTCATCATATTTCAGCTACACACACTCCCTTCTTCCCTACTGCTTGTTATATAAACAGGTCAACACTTATCATTATTTGGACTAAGTCTTTTTTAGTTTGCAGGCTCACGTTGCTACAGGTGCTGCACAGGTACCTGTGACAGTTACCTCAACAAGTATTCAGACCCCTTCACCCTCCTCACCATCCCCTGCTTTAATCCTGCTTTAATTATCCTTGAGATGTGTCTGGACACCCAAACGTCCCAGGACTAGAATTAAAGGTCTAATACTTTTGTGAATAAATAAATAAAATAAATTTGCATACATTTCTAAATACAGATGGATGGGCAATAATCTCAAAGTGAAGAGGTCTGAATACTTTCTGAAGCTAATGTAAGTATTACTTGAGTTGACGTAAAGTCTTGAAATAATTAAAATGCTATTTAACATGGAATGGAATGGTGACTCCTGTGTTGATGCAGAATTAGTAGTAGAAGTGTAGCACAACTGCCTGGTGAAGCGCTGACAAATGTCCGTGTATGTGTGAGGAGGGGGAGGACACTTCCTAATTATATTTAGTTATTCATCAAATATGAATAAATCCCCTCTGGCAACAAAGCAACAGACTTTACACCAGCTGGAAGATATGAACCACACTGTCAGTGAAAAGACACAACTACATTGAATACCCTCTTTCTTTTAAACGTTGTAAACAAGGTCAGTTGTCAAACAACAGATGGAAATGGGTTTGTGTTAGACACCAGTGCTGCTTTATTGCAGATGAGCTCTGTTTAAATTAACACACAAGTGCAGTTTCAGTACTAGTATTCAACATATTCCATCCAAGTAAATCAGTAATGATGCCCACCCATAATCACTACATAACCACAATATTATGTTTATGTTGTACTTTCATTTTAGCTCTGAGCTTCTGACATTTAAGAACATTATGCAGTTTGATTCATTTCTTCATCAGATTTCTCATGGGAGGCCCTTGAAGATAGGTCTGCTGATATCCTATATTCTTATTGTTATTAAACTCCATGACAAGATCAAAACCAACAATAAATGGATCCTATTAGCAACTATTGTGTGTGTATCCACACTGCTGCCGGATGATATGTTCCTTCATTTACCCTGAATACACACACTGTAGTTTATATTGATTAAGTCCCACAGTCACTGTCCTGCTGCCACCAGAGCACCACATATGGATTAATCCACTGCTGAAAATAGTCCCCAATAAATGCACATTTTCCTCCTGTTGGAGTCACATTTGCAGTCACCTAGAGTGACTGGCCATTTTAGAAAACGACTGAGCCTTTAAAATGAAACTACACACTGTATTTGTGAGCTATTTCAAATATTTACACTGGATTAGACAGGGTGGTCAGAAACTATTGGTCTGTAAATGTTTGGGTCTTTTCATTGGATTTGATAAAAAACTAACAAAAATGTACAATAAGTAGCCTATTAGTCTCATCCTTTAACCTGATGTGATTCTAATTAAGAACCTTACTGTAACCACTTTTTCTTTTTACCTTAAACTTTTCTAATTTAAAAATGACAACAGACAAAAAATATCTGCTGTAACTGTGGAGTATTGGCTCCTTCTGCCTACAAATACAAGCCCTCAAAAACATGTCTTTATCAAAGTGATTATTACAAATCACCATGGCAGGTAAATCAATCTGAGTATCAGTCTTTAGAGTGTAAATGTCACCTCTGATGCCACATGGTAGAGGTGAGGTATAAACCACTGTCACTGGGACTGCTTGTAATCTCTCTGTGTGTTTCTTCTGTTAAGGCTCCAACACAGGAATGTTCTGTGTATTAATAGTGCTGGGGGTTGTGTTGTCGGATGCAGTGTGGGCGGCTGCATTTATAATATTCTTCAACAATCTCCCACGATAACTGAGAGACCATGAGAGGAAAAACTCCCTCCAGCCTTGTTCCATCGTCCTGCTTTTCTTCCCAACACCTGACTCCTATTTGACCCCCTCTGTGATGTGACACCCCCCCCCCCCCCCCACACACACACACACACACACACACACACTTACTTCACTATCTTACTGCCAGTTGTTTGTTATGCCAGTGATCTGAAGCTTATACTGGTCTAATAGGTCACTACAACATGTAAATAGAGCATAGAGCAAAAAGAAGAGCGAGACTGACCTGTGGTCTGATCCTCATAATGTCTTCATGGTAGATCCTGATCCTCCACTGTGTCACTGGATTCTGATCTGCTTCCACTGTTTTCCTGCTCAGTTGTCACTTATAGATTCTGGGCCAGCAAACCATGCCAGACCAATAGGGGATAATGCTCCCTCTGTCGCTCTCACTCTCGCTCTATTCCTCTTCCTCTTCTTCTTCCTCTCTCTGATTTACCAAGATTCAGAAAACACCATCTGCAGTCTTAACTTTACTGAGAGTCTCTGCTGAGTGACAGAGCATCATATCGACCCTCTCCATCGGGTTGAAGCAGGTACCACACACAAATAGACCATCTTGCTTTACTAAAGGTAGGTCACTGGAGAACTACATGGAGTGAGCAGCTGGGATTCTCAGACTCTGATAGAGGCCTGGGCAGCCACTGCTACGACCAACTATATGTAACTTACACTATCAACTTATCCATCATTTGTATCTCCTTTTCCTCACTGTGCATTAGTTTGTGCCGCAACTCAATGAAAGAGTTACAATGTTTGTGAGTAAAATATAACATGAGGAACATTTTCCACTTAGTACTCTTAGTATTGCCTCCGATACAGCAGGTGGCAGTGTGCGCTGTTGGCTCGTATCTCCAAGTATGTCGGCCGCCATTTTACCTAAAGAAGAACACCCTCCAGTCCGCTAGGTGGCGGTAATGCACCTGCAAACTGGTTGCCAACTGCCAATCAAACCAAAACAAGCAGAAGAAGAAGAAAACCATCACCACAGCTAGCAGCTATCTAACGTGCCCGAGATATTAATGAATTAAAAATGCGTTTAAATATTCCCTCCGTGACTCTAAGGTCCTGAGCGTTTGAACAATTTGTCGCTCCGTCAGCTCGCTGTAAGGAATAGCTCACGGTCATGGAGAAAACGTTCACTCAGTGGAAGAAGCAGTGTCTGAACAAGCTGGACCTAAGTAAGAAGGGCAGTGTGGACCAGGACATTGAACATGTAGTGTCTCTTCTAAACAGTTGTGAGGAGTACTTCACCACCAGCTCCTGCTCCGGGAGAATCATCCTCATTGACGGGGTGAGAGAGGCTTTACTGCGGGCTAGTCCTCTGTTAGCAGATGGTCCCAACAAGCTAACAGCTGGAATTTCTTCAGTGTGTGCGAGCTTCATTAGAGGCAGGGTTTCACATAGTATATTGATTATCACCAGAGCCTTTCAGCTGTAACGTGTTGTAAGGTTGTATTTGTTTTGCATGTTGGTAACTTTGGTTTAAGGCTGTTAAGAATGTGAACCTTAGGTAAGCTGCTGGCCTTTGGGGTGAGCAGGATGTCAAGGGATCCATTACACATCTGGATTTTATGGTTATATTGTTGTTTATGAGTTTATCTACATCCCGCATAGATTTAGTGATGCACCCGCTTTTAGGAGGAGGTAAGCAATAAAAGTGAAACACAGAGGTAAAGGTCTCGAGGTTAACAGATGTAAGTTACAACACCCAGAACAACATACGATATAAGCAGCTCAAGTTCTGTCATTCGGAGAGAGACTTGGTGTATCCTACATCAGATCTGTCCTCCGTGCACGAATAAACCAGTCAAATTGAAGTGTTAACTTGAAATCATCTTTTCACGTATGTTCCCTGTCTGTTTCCCTGTAGGCTCCAGAGAGTGATGTCCAGAAACAGAATTGTACTTGGCTGTTCGTCTCACACCAAAAATGCACATCTGATGACCTGGTGAGATATGACAGACTTCTGTACTGCTGATGGTCCAAGTAACAATAATATGGATTTAATAATAATCGGAGTACACTGTGTTTGTTCTTCAGGTGTCTGGGCTGGCCAAGTCCAGCAGAGATGCTGTGTTGAAGTTTGAACCCTTCGTGCTCCATGTTCAGTGTCGGAGGCTGGAAGATGCACAGCTTATGGTGAGAAAGACACTGCATGTGTTGTTACAGTGTTGTGAAGAAGTCAATATGACACGCAGCTCTGACCTGCTGGTTTTTGTACAGTTTAATTTTGACTAGATGCTATGAAAAACAACTGTTTATTAAAAGTGCTACAGTTAGCGTCTTTAATACTCAGCAGGGCTGACTCTGACAGAGACATGATGCAGGGTAAAACTGCATAACATCAGCTGTTGCATGGTCAGCTATCATATATCTTCGAGGCTCGAGTGACGCTTTGCTTTCCATTCATTTCAGCCCTGTATGAACATAAACTTGCAGAGACTGAAGGGGCAGATGGTCTGCCACTCTTGGTGTAATGTCATATGCTGATTGTTAATGCTGTGCAACTGACACATAAACAGCATATCATTCATGTTCCACTGATAGAAACCACTACTAATGAGTTGTCAAGTCCCTGATGATCATAGTCAACAGCTATCCATTAATGAACATGTAAGTGGACAATCAAATCCAGAAGACAATAGAACTAATGGATTTTTAAAAAAAAAAAATAGAATAATATGAATTTAGTGATTTCTGGCATCAAAGAGTTTACACTTCAGCAGCCAGTCTGATTATTGTTATTATCATCTTATGTTACATGAAACATCAAATGGAGATTATTGGTCATATGAAACCCTCTTCTTGTCCTACAGACCTTGTTCCCTCCCGCTTTTTTTAAAGAGATCTGTGAGACTATTGGACCTAATATCCAAACAATTTTAAACAGTCTGGCTTCAGGTGTTGTATCAGCTAATTTTAAGCATGCAGTTGTTCAACCACTGATTAAAAAACCTAATCTGGACATCTCAGTCCTCTCAAATTTTAGACCCATTTCAAAACTTCCCTTTCTTTCAAAAATCCTGGAAAAAATTGTGCTTATTAAATTGCAGTCCCTCTTAAACTTACATGGTATTCTTGAGGTGTTCCAGTCTGGTTTAAAAGCCTTTCACAGTTTTTTAATGATCTTTTATTAGCCACTGACTCAGGGGATTCTGCTATTCTTATGCTTTTAGACCTCTCAGCTGCTTTCGATACAGTGGATCACAGTATCCTTATCACTCGCCTAGAGCATTATGTAGGTATTAAAGGAACCGCTCTAGAGTGGTTCAGGTCTTACTTGTCTGACAGAAGTTTTGTCAGCCTTGGTGATTGTGTGTCCTCCTCAGCGCCTTTACCTTGTGGAGTGCCTCAGGGGTCCATTCTTGGGCCTATCCTATTTTCTCTTTATATGCTCCCCCTGGGGTCCATTCTTAGAAAACATGGCATTGCATTGCATTTCATTTTTTTCCTTTTTTCTTTATTGTTTTTCCTTTTACAAAGCATTTTATAAAGTAACACAACATGAACATGGGGTGTTTTGTGTCACAGTATTACAGCAAAGTAATTAACCAATCAAGTACATCTTGATATAGAAAAGAAACTTAAACAAAATAAGGGTGTTTCAGGGAAATGTACATTTTCCATTGCTTCCAGATGTCATTGAATTTAGATTGCTGGAGCCTCACTGAAAAAGTGATTCTTTCCATTACATACATATCGTAAATAATTTCATACCATTCATCTATAGATGGGACGTCTGGCTTGAGCCATTTCTTTGTAATTGTTTTTCTAGCAGCTAGACTCAGTATTCCAAATAAATGTTTATTTTTCACACTTACATTAGCTGAGTGTACAAGCCCAAAAAGAAGTTCGTCCCAGTTAAATGTAATGTCAGTTCCAAAAATAGTTACTAGTTCTGAATAAACCTTGCGCCAGAAAATATTTATTTTTGGACAGGCCCAGAACAAATGATAATGTTTGGCTTCCTGAGAACGACACAATCTCCAACAGCTAGAAGATCCTGTATGGTAGCCATGCTGAGCAGGTGTAATGAAATACCTAATGAGACACTTCCAGCTGAAAGATCTCCATGAGTTTGAGCATGCTATCCTCCACTGAAATTCACAGTATTTAATCCAGGTATCTTCTGAAAGGCAGCTGTTGGTTTCCCTGTCCCATTTTTGTTTTATATATGTGGTATTCACCATTTTTATTTCCTGCAGGCCTCTATAAAGTCTAGAGATGACTTTAAGCATGGAATCTGTCCCATAAGCACTGATGAACACTTTTAATAAACTGTTTTCAAATGCCTTTTGACTTTTTAACATAGTGCTGTTTAGGTGGTTGCATTTCATTTTTATGCGGATGACACAAATGTATCTGCCCTTGAAACAAAACGGCACCCCACAGCTACTGTTGGACTGTCTTAAGGACATTAAAGCTTGGATGGCCTTAAACTTTTTAAGTTTTAATGAAAAAAAAACAGAGATTCTGTTATTCGGACCCAGTAGTGCCAGTGTTGGCCCCCACATAGACCTGAGCTCTGTAAGTCCATACGGAAAATCCACAAATCTGGGTGTGATTATGGACAGTGATTTTAAATTGGACAAACATGTAAATTCAGTTGTGAAATCTAGCTTTTTCCAACTGAAGCTTTTATCAAAGGTCAGGTCCTGCCTGTCTTTTAATGATTTTGAAAGAGTCATCCATGCTTTTATTTCATCCCGCCTTGACTACACATATGCTCTTTATGTTGGTGTTAACCAGAACTCCCTCTCACGACTACAGTTGGTCCAAAATGCAGCAGCTCGTCTTTTAACAGGAACAGGAGAGCAAGAGCACAATTCCCCCTGTGCTGGCCTCCCTTCACTGGCTCCCCGTATGTTTCAGGATTGATTTTAAAATTTTAACTTTAGTTTATAAATCATAACATGAGCTAGCTCCATTTTACCTGTCGGATCTTTTAGTGGCACATGTACCTCTACGCACTCTCAGGTCTGCTGACCAGTTGCTTTTAGTTGTGCCCAGATCCAGGCTAAAGCTCAGAGGAGACCGGGCTTTTTCAGTTGCAGGCCCCAAACTCTGGAATGAGCTGCCGCTACATGTCAGACTGTCCCCCTCACTGCCTGTTTTTAAATCACGTCTTAAAACACATTTTTATTCTTTGGCCTTTGACTCAGTATGAGAGTTGTCATTTCTGTCTGTTTGCATCAGTTTGTGTTCTTGCTGTGTTGTTTTTATGTTATTGATTGTACAGCACTTTGGTCAACAGCTGTTGTTTTAAATGTGCTTTATAAATAAATTTGATTTGATTTGATTTGATCAACACACCCTCACTACAGGTCAATGCAGTCAGAGAACATAGGAACAAGGAGCAAAAACAGATAAGAGACTTTTTATCACTGAGATTAGACACTGAACTTTTTACAAACAAAAACTCAACAAGAAGCGAGTCGTATATACAGAGACTAAAAAGTAAATTTGTGCAATTATAATGATCATATCTCAGTGTTATATTTATTTATCACCCTTTTTTAAAAATTTTGTTAAATTTACCAAGTGAACCACACATTCTTTATTTATTAATTCATTTGTTCCCCTTGTCTTTTTTAAATGAACTTATTCCCCTCAGTTTATACTGACTCTGATTTCAAACAGCCTCTGAAAACAGTTTGGGAGTAAATGATTTTGTGCTTTCTACATTATCTGTGCAGTTTTAAAGTCAAAGCAGATCATGAAAGTTTAAAGCATATGAATGAATAAATAGTGGGTTGGTTGGTTCATAATGATCTGATTGACTGATTCTCAAAGCTTTCTCCTGCAGCATGTAAAGTGAGTTTGTGTTTGTTTCTCCATGTCTCCACACAATAAGTCATGTATGATAATATGAGAGAGCAGTATAATATATGTAGTGATTTCTGGTTTAAAATGTGTTGCAACACTGCAACAGTTTTATTTGTGGCTTTCAACATAATTTATGATCAATAACGACACCCAGGAATTTATTTTCATCCATTCTTTCGTTAATACTGATTTTAACTTGTTTTATTGATTTGCCGTGTGCTCTGGGAAACTCAGATAAAGATTCGGATAACACCTGAATCTGTCATCAGTGTGCAGATAAATTTACACTTCACTGTCACAATCAACATTATCAGAATACACAAATACTGACAGGCTGTACTGGAACTTAGAAACACTTAAAGGAAGTTTTTTGTTCAGTGTTTTGTGCAGATGACTTTCATATTGTCTCATTAGATCTTTACATGAGGTCTTTTTCAGGTACTAAACAGGTTATTAAATAAACTGACCACTTGGTCATTAAATGTTTTTGTCTCCTGCAGCACTCAGTGGCCATCAACTCAGGGTTCAGGAACTCTGGTCTCACTGTCGGAAAGACAGGAAAGATCATCACGGTACGTTTGAGACACTACTGACATTTTTGAACAGTCTGTAAGTGGTTTAGGGAATAGCAAGGTTTTGCCTACATACATTATGTAATAGGTGTAAATCTATGCTGTTTCTGTATTTTGTCCCTCTAGGCAATCCGTAGCACCCATGGCCTGGAGGTTCCTCTGAGCCACAAAGGAAAGCTCCTGGCTGGACACGAGTACATCAGTTTCCTAACTCAGACAGCCAATCAGAAGATGGAGGAGAACCTCAGACGGATCCACAGGTCAGTCTGCTCACTGGCTCTGTCCTGTTCAGTTATTGGTTAAAACTGTGGCTGTTAGTTACTACATCAGTTAAATGTTCTCACTAATCTATGCATCAGAATTCATTTCAAAGCTCAGAATGTCTGAATGAGTGTGTTGTTTTGTTTTTGTTCACGTCCAGGTTTTACCAGAACCTCCAGTCAGCTCTGACCACAGAGAAACTACAAAAACTACAACTCCCAGATCCTCCCAGCTCACAGGAACTCCAACATCCCCCTGACAGACTGGCGACAGAGAAGGAAGAGCAGAGCAAAAGAAGTGTGTATAAACGGAGGCGGAAGAGAGAGCAACATAAGACTGACTGTTGCCATGGTGACAAGTCCAGCAGTGTGCAAGAGCTGGACGACTGTCTGGATCTATTTACATGAAGTGGTGGCTCTGCGCACATGCTAACACACTCAGTGTGTCACCATCTGGTTAATGGTGTCGCTCTTTTCTGAATGTTGAAACATTCAGAAAACATGCTGAATGCTCGTCTACAATATATTAAATTATTATATTCTACAAATATATTATAGAATCACTTTATTATAAGGAATATCAGCAGGTGACCTGAGCTACACAGCTACACTTCTCTGGAGCAGGTTGAAGTCAGAGGACTCAGCCTGTCGACAGACCAGGCCACTCACTGGAATAATAAACATCATTTCTACAACATATGACAAATAATAAAAAGCAATAAAGATATTTTTTACTTTAGTGTGTTTTCAATTATTTCAGATATCTGTCCTGCCAGAATGTTGTGGAGAGGATGATTGGTATTGTCCAGGATGGCCTCCATCTTACATTGCATGCATCTCTCCACAACAGTCCTGAGTGAGTCCAGACTCCTGCAGCACAGACCCAGCCTCTTTTACCAGCTTGTCCAGTTTCCTTGTGTTCATGTCAGTAACTGCCATTAATTATACTGGTACAGATACAGATACTACTCCTACTGATTTATCTGTTCGTTCTTGGTCATTTCTTCACATTACTACATAATTACTATGTAATTACTATATAATTAATGGCCTGTAACTTAAAGGGTCACCAAATCCCTCATGACAATAGAATAGAAAGCCTTTATTGTCATTGTACAAAATATACAACAAACTTCATAGTGCTTCTTCTGATCAGTGCAAACAGAAAAGAAGACAGACAAAAGGACAAGAATATCACATGTAAAAGAATATTGCACTCAAAAATTATTAATAAATACTTTTTAAAAAAATAGAAAAGTGCTTTTCTGAGTAAGCTATTATTTACAGTGAATATTAAAATAGTGATATAGATATAAATAGTGAATAGTTCTGATGGTCCAGGGAAAGAAACTGCTCTTAAGTCTGTTAGTCCAGCTTTTGATGCCCTTGTACTGTCTACCGGAGGACAGGAGGTTGAACAGGTGGTTTCCAGGATGGAAGAGGTCCTTAATTATTTTTCATTTGTTTTTTTGAGTATCAATCTACATGCATTTCATGTGGAAGATGGAGACAGCGATACAAACAAAACAAACTCAGAGATACTGATGCTGCAGCATCAAGTTGATTTTGATTTGTAAAGGGACATTGTATTGAGGCATATGTGGCAACAGTTTTATGAGTCTGATTACTTTTTGATGCCATTTTCATTTTTTTTTGTGCACACCCACATTTTTACACACTTTTTTTTTACACAAGTTTTGTAAATGAGGCCCCAGGTCAACGTAGGACTGACTTTATTATTCGCCCTCTGGCCGCTATAGCTCTGATTGGTCGTCTCAATGAGAGTGTGCTCTACAAATACATACCTTTGGGTCAGACCCTCATCCAACCTGTAAAGTGAGTCCAGGATACAGAGCCTCCACTGAGACTGAGTGGCTCTTTAGATTTGTTCAGTGAATCAGAATGAATCCCTGCTTCACCCCCATCAGATGATTCAGGAGAGTCACAGGAGTGGAAGGAAGGTTTCCCTCTCACACAATCACAACAAAGGCAAAGAAGAATAAGTCAGTCAGTCTCTCAGGGGCACGTCATCGTCATCATCGTCACTGTGGTTATCATCATCTGTGCTTTCATATCTACACTGAAGACCTGCACAACTGGATTATCAGGCATTGTGGTGACATTAACCAAGAATCAGTACAACTGGATTATTCACCCTGGTGACACAAACCAGGAAGTGTCAAAACAGGATTTGAAAGAACAACTGTGATTTTAAGTTGTAAGTTGGACTCTTCATCTCTAAAGCAACAGCATCCAGGACTGTGTACGACTGAGATACTCGTCACTGTGGTAACAGTCTACGAGACTCCACCATGCTGTACTTCCAGGTGGTGATTCTGGCAGCTACAGTGATGCTGGCTTACTACTGCGAGTTCACAGACACTTTCAGTCCAGCACAGCAGGGCTTCATCTGCAGAGACCCGACTTTGGCCAAACCAGATCCTGGACCTGAACAGGACAGCCTCATACAGCCTGTCATACTGTACTCTGTGGTGGGTGGACTGCCTGTTGTGCTGGTAAGTCTGACTGTGATTTAAACACAGTAACAGGACAGATGTTAAAGATATGAGTGACAGATGTGATGGGTTGCAGGGGTGCAGGGAGGCTCAGTTTGACTGGCAGGTCCCTGAACAGGACAACTGCAGCTGCTATGGTAAATAAAACACTGTACATGAATATACACAGTCTGAGCACATTTTAATTTCGACAAAAGCAAGATCAACACTTGCATATATGTATGAGAGAGTTTAAAGCATCACACTGCAGTTAACAGCAAAAGAACAAACTGAGATGAAAATCTTAAAGCTGCAGTAATCAATGTCTTATATTAAATGTCCATATAGTCTAAAGGTCCATGTATAGTTTGATTATAAAGCAGGTCTAGGTGCTATATTAATACTTAAGTTTTCTACCTAAATATGACACTTGAGGTTTAATTTTTCCTTAGCTGAGGGTGTTAATTAAGGGAACAGAATTTCTCAAAAATATCTCCTTAGTTAAGGAAAATCATTAAGGCATTTGCAGCAGTGAAAGAGATTTTACAGCTGTAAAATTCTACAGTTTCTATAGAGACCAATGATTTGCTGCCATTAGGGCTTGTTATAGCTGTTATCACTTTTGCAGAAGCCGCTGCCATGTCATCCTCCTGTTGTTTTGAAGGGAACTTCAGCACAGTGTTCAGCAGACGGCCACAGTGTTTAAACCCTGTGAGTGACCTGGCAAACACTGCTGATCTGTGGACATGAAACACCTTGACTGTACCTGACTGGAAAGATTATTGTGGCATAAAACCATAGAGTGATCATGAAGCTGTGGAATGTCGAATGATCCAACTTCAGTCGGTCGGGCAAATCATTAAACTGACCATAAACTTTACTGCACCCCTTTTCCCTTAGGTCACTAAGGTCTTTTGTGCAATGGTTTAACTGACTTTAAGTGATTCCTTAAGTATAAGACTAAGCGTAGTGGAGATAATGATAATATGATCAGACTGGGCGCTAGTTCAGTGTTTGTCACTAGGTTCACCCCGGGGTGTCGGCCAGAACACCACTTAAGGCCAAGTTTCCAGAGTATAGATAAATAAAGGGCTGAGAGACGTAGATATGCCGTTTACTTCCTTTCTTTACTTCTCCCTTTGCAGCAACACATACAGGTATTCCAGTGTTCATGCAATAACAGCTGGATGTTATGGTTGTGTAGTTTTTCTACAAAGAAAGAATAGCAAAATACAATTGAATGAAGGATAACAATACATATACATACATTACTTTCACCCATATGCAGTAATATGCATAATATTACCAACCTAATATAAACACTAATTGTAAACAGAGGAAGTAACCAAATGGCTACAATTACACTTCTCTCTCTCCTTTACACTATCACAGGAACAACCAAACCCAAAACAATCATTACACAGGTTTCTCAGACATATTAAGACTGTGTTAAGTTACTGCTAATGTTGACATAACACTTCCTGTTATTTATGATTCGTGTTAAATCCTCCCGCTGACGAACCGGCAGGATGCTTTTATTGTGAAACCTACAGACACGCTACGTCCTGTCACCGAGTTAGCATAAGTCAGGTGAGCCGAGGGCCGTAGCTAGCGTGCATAACCCGGCTATCATTAGCATAGTGATCACATGGCGAGCACCTAAGCTCCGACTTCTCCTCCACATTGGCTAACAGAAGTTATCTATAGCTGCATCAACACAAGGAAATACAATACCACAAGTAATGCAGCGAATAAATACTCACTGTTTCATTCACGCACAGAATCACTTGGAATAAAGTTTTTGCACTGCACAACCGTAGCCCATCACTCGACTGAAGCCCACAACTTTTTTACTGCGTGACGTCAGTTACGATATCTCACCGTCATGTGGGTTGATTCACCCTATAAATTACCAGCACTGAATAAACAGATACCTAATAGCACATCAGACATAGAAGCCCCATATGGGCAACAGGACTTAATACTATAACTCTTAACTTTGAGGCCTTTTCTACACTAAGATAAGGAGAAATACTTAAATAATTAAGTGAACATTTTAAGGAAACCTTAAGCAGGAGACTTAAGGTTGATTTGTGCAACTGTTTTTATTTTAAGGAAACCTTAAATCAGACTTTAAGGAAAATCTTAAGGGATCTGAAGAGGGCTTTGTGCAACCGGCCTCTGAGCCTTAAAACGAGCTGTCAGGACTTCTGTAACTTTGTGATGTCACAACAAAGCAGTCACTGCTCTCAGCCACCCCCCAAGCAACGCCCACCTGGACCCACCATCCAACCTTTGCAGGATTTGGTTTCTCTGAGTGTTTACCTGAAATCTATATTTTAAGATGTATTTTAATTGGATCACTCAGTAAACAGTTAGCCAATGAGAAGAGAGGCTCAGAGCCTCCTCTCCTCTGATTGGCTCACTGACCTGTTGTTACTAGAGCTCCAGAGAGAAGCCTGAGAGAGGAGATGGAAAACTACATGACAGATGATTGCACATTATATAAAATCCAAGCATTTAGATAACCTCCTTCAAAACTAACATCCCTGCACCTGCTTGTTTTCTTCTTCTTTCATGATGTGTTGCAGATTTCGTCTGTAGAGCTGGTTATCTTTCTACTTCACTCAAACAGCCTTTACGACCAAGACAAGATTGTTGTGATGGATGACTGTTGCTACGTGAACCCTATGGTGCGCAGGACCTTCCGTTTCCTTGGTAATGTAGTTAGTTAATAGATAATTTGCTCTAATAAACTAAAATCTTTTGCTGTTCTCTTCATTTTAATTCATAAAGACGTTTGTTAGATGTTTTGTGGTGAAATCAAAAGTGCTACCTACTGAATATATATGTCATGTCTTGGTGATTGTAGCCACCTGGCTGCTGGGCTCCGACCAGCTCGCTCTACACCTGATGTTGGCAGTTCAGCCTTTATTTTATGGGTAAACAAGTAAATCAAATCAAGTTCCAAATTATTGTACAATCAAATTGTTGTACATCCTTCATCATGGCAAAATGTGGTCCTGGAGACACCTACTACAACAGGATCTACCACAGAGGTGGTTCTGAGTGTATTGCTGTTTATATGTCTGTGTGTCTGTGGACAGATTTTGTTGCTGTGAACGCATCACCACTGTGCAGGATACAGTCACCAGACTTTACAGGTGTGTAGCTGAGATACAAATGAAAGCTAAGTTTGAAGAGCTGGTGTGATCCCATCGGAAGACGCTCCCTAGTTTCCTTTTTTTATTTCACTTGGGAATTACAACAAGAATTTCACCCTCACAATTAGAACACTGAAATAAAATGGTGGACAGTAAATATATCGCATTAAAGAGTAAACAGGAATCAATTTTAAACAAGTTGCCATTATAAAAGTGTGTTTAAACAGGAAGAGACAAATTTTCATGTAAATTTGACATTTGTATGGACCTCAGCCTCTTCTCAAGAACTGTCCTTAACAAAGACTGAATGAATCTACATTTATGGCATAGAAGCCCTCTCTCTCTCTCTCTCTCTCTCTCTCTCTCTCTCTCTCTCATATACAGTTTATGCAGTCATACTGCCTCAGACTTTTGCTTCACACCCTATTTGAACACACAATAACACTATACTTTTCTTGTTATGATCACAAAACTGTGAAAACAACTTTTTGAAATGATGCCACTTCTGGGCTTCTGCACTAAACAAGTGCAATTTAAATATGTAACATCAACACAACCAACAGCCTCTGTTTTGTGTCACTGAGGTTGTTTATGTTACTTTCTGTGTGAGGTCAGGATTCATGCTAACACTGAAACACTATATTTAAGGTATAATGTGTAAGATCGTGCTACTTGCTCCACCTCCATAGAGGGCAGCATTTCACCTCTTTGCCCCTGTCAAGTTAATCATGTTGTTGTTTTCCCCATGTTCCTTATAATTTATTATTTATATGTGCATTTATTTTTGATAGCTAAAATTGTTGTCAGAACTGAAATAAATTATGAGTACTTGTAATACAAACAGTATGTTTTTATTTACCTATAAAAATATGAAGGCAAGGGGATACTGCATGACACATGGGTGTCAGGCTACAGCAGCATGAGGAAGGGATGATGACATCATCACAGAGGCAGAATCAGTAATAAGCTTTATTGTCAGGTAGGTTTTTACTTACAAGATATTTGGCTTGGTGTTTGATGCAGTATCCAATAAACATATTAACAGGAAATAACAAAAAAAATGTAAAATACTGCAACAGTCAAAAAGAGAAATATACATAGATACACATATCAAAAAAAATAAAACTTTGAAAAAAACTATGTACAGAAGTGTTGACAAAACTCCTGCTGAGCAGGATGTGCAGAAGATCACAGTAGAGACAATATGTGTTCTGTGCAGGGATAATACTCTGAGGTGTTACTGTAATGTGGTTGTGTTATCCATTGTCATTGCGACTAGATGTCACACTAGACCAACAACATCTCAGACCAAAACAAATGCGTCGTCGGCTGCACGAATGAGACTGATGGAGCCGGTAAAGACTTTATAGATGTTTTGATGGTCCACCGGCCGACTGGGATTTGAGCCAGTAGTCCACATGTCCAGTCCACCTGCACTCTGGTCTCATCTATTTCTGTGTCTGAAGTCTTTTTAAAGGAAAACGTGGTTTCTTCTTCAGTGGGGGAAATTTTAAAGGTCACTTTCGTCTGAACGCAGCGTACTGCACTGTTTCTCATCTGTGGGCGGAGCCTGTGTGTTTATAAACATGGGAGGACCCATGGCTTATGAAGAGGGACTCACATGCACTCACATTCACTAACACACACGTATGTGCACTAACTTGCACATGCTACCAGGCCAGCTACCAAAACACAGACCAGAAAAGCTCAGATTACATCACACACAGAGGGGGTGTGGCTTAGTTTTCTGCTCAGGACGCCATAACTCCTCTCTGTCTTTACATAGAAAATAGTTGTTTACTATTGTTGTTTAAAATCTTGTTTACAGAACCAGAGACCTCAGTGCTAACATTTAAACTGCATCAATGTGACTGATTTAGTTCAAATACACTTTCAACTAAAATCTGAATCTTTCTATGTCAGTGTACAGTAACATGCTGCTTTTAAATCATCTAATCTGTGTGTATCTCTGCAGGTGTCTACATCTTTGGTCTGTTTTCAACAGACATCTTCGTCAATGCAGGTCAGCTGGTCACAGGAAGTCTGGCTCCTTACTTCCTGTCTGTTTGCCAGCCCAATTACACCGCCCTCAGCTGCCAGGACACCGCGTACTTTGTCAGCCAATCAGACGCTTGCACTGGTGACCCTGATGACGTCATGAGAGCCAGGAAGACGTTTCCCTCCAAAGAAGCTGCACTGAGTCTGTACACGGCAGTTTATCTAGCAGTGAGTGGTTCACTTTAAAGTAGCAGAGGCAGAAACCAGTTTATCACCAGCACATGCCTCGCCATACTGTCACTGAATAACCTTTCCCTGCAGATGTACATCACATCATGCGTTGGTTCCAGTGGAGGTCGACTGACAGGCCCCCTCCTGAGTATGTCATTGGTCGGTCTGGCTGTGCTGACAGGCATCAATAGAGTGGCCGAATACCGAAACCACTGGAGCGACATCATAGCAGGACAAGTCATCGGGGGAGCTATCGCCGTCTTTCTTGTCAGTAATTATTCATTTAATGAGCTGTAGCCATTTTTCAGTTTTCATGTTCAATGTGATGATGATGTTTAACGTCCCCGACAACCTCTGTAGTCTCATTTACACACTTGTTAGCAGCCGGCCTTTTTTAACAGACGTGAAAGCTTCAAGAAATCAGGACTGGAGTATTTACTGACGTATTTTATGTTGTAGAATAAGACGTGAAAATGTATTGATCTTGTGTTAACACAGACCTTATTTAAGTCATCTTTACCAAAAACACATTCAAAGAACCACAGACTTCAGGACCAGGGAACAGGAGGAGCTAAAATGCTCCTAACCTTACCTAAGTCAATTTTGCAGTTTTTGGGAGGCCCCTCTTCTGCAGCCTGGTTTGGTGTGGTGACCGATCAGAGCATCTGAGGCTCAGCTTGTCAGGATCAACTCTACTTTTTAGGGTAGCTCAACATCCAGCGTACTGTTACCTTCTGCTGTAGTTTATCAGCGTCAGCGTGGCAGTGATGTGACACATTGATGTTTGCAAAGATATGTCAAACAAGACCCAGTTAAACCTTAAAACTTGCATGGACCTCTTATGTTGAATGTATGAAATTGAGGACGTAGTTGAAAACTGTTGTGAAACTGCTGTAAACAACTGACATCATTGTGTCATATATGTGTTCTGCTAAGTGTCAGAACATGCACAGTGAAGGCCAGGAACACACTAGCTGTGTGGTGTGTTCATGGCGGCTGCGAAACATCTAGGTTTCATTTCAGTGCCCATGTTAACGGGTAAGAGCGACACACTGCCTCGCGTGTCTCACACATCACAGTTATGTCATGTGATCTAGAGATTGATGTTTTGCGTATTTTTCACAGGAGATCCATCTCTTAGCAGAAACAGGCAGAGAAAAGACCTGTTGATGTCACAGTGACATCATAGCAGCAACATCACATAAAACTGACTCCTTCCACTATAATTTCTATGTCTAGACTGAATCTGAATATGACACCGACATGAAAAATATAATATATTTTTTAACCATTTTCAGCAGCTGCATGTGGAGACAGAGACATTTTAGTGACGTTTTCTATTAAAAATGAATCAGAAATGAATTTATAATGAAAAGATATACAACATTCCAGTGACCTGTAAACTCTATGTAGAGAGACAGAGCTGCAGCAGCTGAGACACAGCAGAGACACAGCCGGTCGGCAGCTCAGCCGCCACACTAATGCAACGCAGGCAGCGTGTTCCCACCATAAGCTGGCAACACTGCAGGCTGTTAACACCAGTGTTTGCGCCAGTTTATTTTGAAAGAACAACAGCCAATGGGGAGACACCAACTTAGTCACGTGGTATTCAGCTGAGCAATAGTGGAAATATGATCACTCAGTCAGTCAGTCAGTCAGATTATATTGCTGACCCTGCTGTTGTGGTCCAGCCAACAACAGTCTCATGGACTGTTCTCTCTAAACTTTTCCATATAAATGTGAAGGTGAATGTAATGTATTATGGTAAACCTCGATCTACCATCACAAGCACTGTAAACTTCACATAGAGGGAAGGCACAGTACTCAAAACAAATAATGGTATATAACAAGTTCTTTTTAGTAAAATCAATAAATCATTTGAATAAATCAGAAGTTGTCAGTACCAAGTATTCTGATCAATTACCATTTGCATTTGCCTTCCCTGTTCCTCATATTCATCACTTCTTCAACTTAATTGAGATTATTTCTTTTAAAATAAATTCCGTTCATACTTTATAATTTTAAGAAGTTTTAAAAAACATCCAGAGCATCTTTTCAAAGTCACACAGCCACTCTGCAGCTGTACATTATCAAGTCTACAGTTGGCCAAATAAATGTAGGTTTATAGACAGCCGGCCTAATGGACTAAATAGCTGTAGGACACACACAGCCTACATGAGTTTGAATTCTTCTTTTACGTAACAAGTCATGCACGAATGACTGGGTCACTCTGGATCACAGAGACAATCTAAACACAAATGATAAAACCCTGTCTCCCTCCAGTCACAATAAAAGCTCCCCGTTTTATACAGTTCTTTACTCGTCTGTTGTGTGTGTGTGACTGTTTCTGTCTGTTTCTGATGGAATCACGAAATGACTTCTCTCTCTCTGTGCAGGTGGTGTTCGTGGTTCAGTATTTCAAGAAGAGACCTGGACTCCCTCAGAGTCCGTCTGATGACGGGACAGCTAACACTGATGAGGCGTCACTTCAGATGAATCACACCATGGGAACCAGTGTCAAATTTCTTGCTACACAGGTAACTTCACTTTTACACCTGTAAGTTGTTTTTTTCATGTATGATTGTACAATATACACAACTATATGTGGAAGCTATTATGTATTTGCAGTTTTTTTTGCAGCAGAGTTCAAATTCTATTTTAGAGGCATTTTTTTAAAGGTCCATCCAGTCTAAAGGTCTCTGTCCATGTGTAGTTTGATTATAGATCAGGTCTAGGTTCTATATTAATACTGTGAAAGTATCAAAGCCTCAGTCCACAGAGAAATGCACACAGCCTGTATTCAGAAACTGAGCCTTAAAACCAGCTGTAAGTCACTTCTGGAACTTTGTGATGTCACAACAAAGCAGTTACCACTGTCAGTCATGCCCTGGAGGCTCCCGTGAGATTCCATTGGGATGGGAGTCAATTAAAGTAGTAAAGTAGTAAAACCACAAATATATCTTCTTATGGATCAACACTCAAATACAATACAGGAGAAGAGGAGAATATGGAGATTTAATTGAATGTTTTTTTTCTTTCTTGGTTTTCTAGAGCCCAGGATCCATCACAGAAGTCACATGACTATGACCCCCCCCACGCCCCCACCCCCCCAACACACACACACACACACACACACACACACACACACACAACTAGATAACCTGGATGAAATGGACATCACCTGTTTGACGTCAAACCTGGACCTTTATTTTTCCTAAAACAGCCATATGTTGAGGTTGTTGCCACTTTTGTTTAAAGCTGCTTTTTGTCATGTTTGAGAATACACCAATCATTAACAAGTGAATTAACAAGTGAATTTTGAGTTATTAGTATAATTACTCCAAGCATTCAAATTACATTCTACATTCAATGGTTTTGAATTTGAAAATTGAACCACTGTTGTATTGGTTAACTTTTACGATACCACTGTATGTTACACTGTGAATGATGGTAGATGTGGAACCTTTGTTTAGAGGCAACGAATAGACGCTGACCTTCACTAAAACTGTGTATCATAAGTTCATATTTTACGTCATAGAATATATGAATCCACAGGTTACATGGTCTTTAAAGGGAAAACTGTGTGAAATAATGTAATGTATTTATGCTGCCTGTGTCTGGAGTTAATGGTCATAATAGTCATAGTTTCCCCTGCTGCTGGTTACACATCTGTATCTGTTCTCTCTGTCTTTTGTTCTTTATTTTGACCCCGACCACCCCCCACCCCCAACAAACAACAACACCTTCACTTCTTACAGTCTCTTTGTCCTTAGTACATTACCTGATTTGTTTTCTTGTTCATGTAAATTACTGTTATTACCATATTATATTATAACATATCACCTATTACTGTTATAAAGTATAGTGTTGTTCTTCACTTAATCTCACAGGTCAGCAAAGATATTAGACCTTTTTATTTTTTATACACTAACTGTGTTTTGTCCTCTGCCACTCATCCTAAAACTCCAATCATAATAATAAATATAATCAATACATGATAATAAATGATGTATAAATGATATGTCAGACACAGACTCATCAGGTAGTTTGATGTGTTTCGTTCTTGATCTGCTGTATACATGAAAACATATTTGTCTCTTTTGGATTAGTGCTAGTGCTTGTGTACAGATGTAAATATGACTTTCTTTATACATGAGTATGATAAACAGATACAGTAGTTTTTTTTTGTGATGTGTGGTCTTCTTCCCTGACTTCTCTGTTGATGACGGGGGAGAAAGAATGAAAATAAAAATGGTGCTTTAAACAACCCTGCAAATTAAATGTGATTTTTAAAGATATTTTACTCAGCTGTCTTGATTTTGATTTCTCACATTTTTAAAATTATGGTTTCAGAGATGACCCCTCAGATAATAACTGCAAACCAGTCTGAATGTTTCAACCTCGTTTCATCCTTTTATTAATTACTCAAATAAAATGTATTTAATACAGGTACTGAAAGTTCTCAGGCTGGACTGCAACAGCAGAGGGAGTGAGTGAGTAAGAGGTGAAAGGACAGTCAGCGCCTGAGCTGCTTCTGGCAGCTGCTGTTTGTCTGTCTAACTATAGAACAGACTCAGTTTATTCACAATCACAATTCACAAAATTCAGTGTTGTGATGGTGATGATGATGATGATGAGCCGCAGCTGCAGCTGACTAGTAATGTCAGTAACATCAACACAGTTGGATAAGAGCTGTTGACATTCACAGCTCCTCCTGCCAAACTCTTTTGAAATTTGTGTTTTGCCATTACAAATCCAAGAGTATTTGTCATTTATTTTATAAATTTATTGAATCTATTCAATGGTGTTTGTTAGATATATAATATTTCTTTAAGAAAAATAACAACTGGACACTATATTGATTCCTTACATGGACTAAAGAACAGAAAAGCAATAAAAACAGTAGAAACCTGTACAGGTTTTTTTTTTTAACTTTTTTGTTTCATCATCCTTATTATATATTGCATTTATTTCCTTCGTCTTTTACTGTATTTATTCTATTTGTATGTATTGTCCATATTTTACTATGCATCTTATTTTAGAAGTTATGATTATTTCCTCAATTTTTAATGTTTAATAGTTTTAATAAAATGAAATGGAAAATGTTTTGAATAATAAAGCATTTGGGTAAAAACCCAGTTACCACAATATCCCAACAACTCCCTAATCATATGAATAGTCATATCATCACATTAAAATAAATCATAAAATATTTCAAACACATTATCTTTAGTAATAATAATGAGTTTTATCATTATTACATTATTACATTACCAACTTACTGAAATACATCTAAACATTTTGACCCATTATAACCCAGTAATCTCTAATTGCAATATCAAAACATTTAGTTTTCCTTATTTTCTTTTTTTAAATGCAGGTACCGGAACATATTTAGGGCACACAACCAAAAAAAAACCAATGAAGCAGCACTAGCATCAAAAAGTAACAAAATTTTCCAGGACTCCCCTTCATCAAGTAAATGAATGAAATATTCCAAGAGGCACAATAACATCAAATGTAAAATTGTAAATGTATTTTATGCTATTATGTAGAAAAAAAACTCTGAGAATCACAATAATGATAAAAAATTAAAATACTTCTACAGGAGCTCTGAAAGGCAAGTGAAGTTTTTTCAGGTCTGTTTTCCAGAGTTAGTTTTTGTGAAATCAGGTGAAAAAAACTGTGAAACAAGAACAACAGTTTCACCAAAGAAAAACCCTGAAAAAAAAATCACCTATTTTTACAAATAGAAAACAAAAAAAACTTGGAAAACAACAAAAAAAAAATGTACGTAACAGTACATGCAGACCAGTCAGTGATGATGCAACTGATGGTTTTAATAAAATGCAGACTAATGGACTTTCTAGTGGTGACACTGGTCTCTTTGCTATTGGCTGACAGGCGGACATCAAATTGTCAATCAGCTGTAACACGACACACAGAGCCCCGCCCATCTACACCTGCCTCTGGGTGGTCTCGAGCTTCCCGCGGGACAGTGCGGAGGCACAAACAGCGTCCAGCAGCAGAGTGAGGTAAGTGACCTGAACACTGTCATGTGCATGTTTTGTTTTTATTATTTTAACGTAAAGTATGACGTGTTCTCTGGTTATCTGCACCTGTAGTAACACCCGCACCTCCAACTGTTCACTTGTAGTTTTCCAACCTGCAGCCTCATTATAGCTCCAGATAAATCAGCTGGAGAAAAAGAGTTCAAACAACAGTTGTGGAGGATTCGTGTTGAGCATCTTATTCCCACACTGGTTTTATGTGGACAGATGTGGTGTATTTAAAATAATAAAAATGTTGTAAGCTGACACACTCTGTTTGGTGAAGTGCATTTAGCCTTCAGGAGAGAACGAGCAGCACAGAAAGACAAACAGAAAGAGACGGAGATAAGTCCTTAATTCTGTTTAAGCTTCAGTTTCTCCGAGCTGCTGCCTGTCCCTGTGTCAGAGGGTCAGAGCGCCCAGCCTCCGCTGTAACCTCCTGGAAGGTAACAGCGCTGACTTTAATGTTCTACTCAGCTCTGTTCACTCAGGTTAAGTCTTATTTCAAGACTTTTGTAGATGCACACACACTCAGTGTTTATCCTCAGGAATGAAATGAAGTGACCTCATCACAGTGTATTACTCATATTCTTCCATAGAGGATTGAGGACTGATACTTGTAGGATTAGAGCACTGAGCAGGAGTGTGAGTGTGTGCATGAATCTACACACTTTTAGTCAATTAAGTGCAAAACTTGCAGATTTGAATCTCTCAACTTGACATGTTTCCATAGTCCTCGGTGCACTAGTGTCCTGCATCATTGTCCATACAGGAAGACAAATATCATCTCTCAGGACTTTACAGGCTCCACGTGCATCATTGCTGTTGCATGTTGGTGAACATGCTGCTCATAACAGTGGAACACATTCACTGCACTGCAATCAATATGACATTGATATTAATCAGTATAGAAAATAAAATGATAAGGTAACGAGCACATGGTTGTCACACTGATCAGCCACATGGTTGTTCTAACTGTTTATAGCTGGCAAACAGATGGTTCACACAGATTAGCTGCCTCATGAGCAGATTAGCTCAGTTCACCCACTGCTTTACTGACTGGTTGCCTGACTGACTGACTGACTAACTGACTGACTGACTGACAGACAGGCAAAGGTGTTTTCACTTGAGTTAGCACATGATAGCTAGAGAACAGCCTGTGTGAGTGGAGGTGGGTCAGTTCAGCCCCCGCCTCAGGCTGACAGGCTCCGTGTTTGTTTGAGGGAGGTAGGGCAGAATAACACGTCGTCTCTGTGTGGACCGAAAGGCTCGTTAAAGTGACATGGAGGCTGCTTTCTCCTGGCTGACCTCAGGCAGTGGATAACAGCATGTTTGTCTGGCTGTAAGTCATACTGGCGTGGATTGGTAAAATAAAAAAAATAATCAGTGTACATGTGTTAGACCAGTGAACTGGGTTTTAACATGGCAAATAGTGACCTGGAAATAGAAGCAGTAAATGTGTGTTTCCGTCTTAAGAATGCGCTCCACCCCCTCGACCCCTTTATACACCCCTGAACCCCCCGCTATAAACCTTCCTGACCCATATCTATATTAAACACACAGCTCCTCTGACTCCCCTCACTGACTCTGCAGGGGAATGAACCTAAAGAGTTTCAGTTATTTTTAAATGTGTTCTGCACCTGGGTGTTTTACAGTTAAATAAATAGACTCATTTATTTATTTGTGCTTTAAGGTTATTTATTTGTCAGGTTTGACAGGACGACCACGCCCCCTGCTGTTCAGCCACTCCTTCAGAACAGCATCCCAGGTGTGGGACAGCATGTATGCCCCCTCGTCCCGGTTCACTGTCCTTTGGGTCCGTTTTCCCATCTCAACAGTCTCCCTAATCCAACGGTGGTGCTTGTTGCTCTCTGATCGAATGACCTTGGCCTAGCAACATCACGTGACTCTTCTGAGGAAGACTGCACTTTCCTAAATTTCAAAGTCACAAAAATGATTAAAGTGACAATAACATTGGCAGAAGGGATGTAGTCAAAGCGTATGTAGAACCAACATCTCCTCCATCCTGAACATCCATCAACCCTCCCGTAGGAGCATCTCCTGAAATAGCACCACTACTGCAGCAGGCGTGCCGGACCTCAGTTGTCATGGATACAATAATAAACAGGCAACAATAACAACGTAGTTAACTTTGTTGAATAGTCATGGATAATAGAAACAACATAAACTCCTGGTTTCATGTGGGAATGGAACAGCGCTCTCCTGTGTCATATTCATCCATCCACCACAGCCTCCTCCTGACGTGGACTTTGTCTCTCTTTATACTACGTCACCACACTTTTCCCTTTGCTCCTGTCATCATTACTACGACCACTAGATGTCGCCTAGCAACGAAACCTAACTATGGGTCATAATAACCTGCTGTACAGACGACATGTGGGCTGGTTTCTTACAGGAGGACAGTTTCTTTAGAACAGTGGTATACCCACTAATGTATTTAAAAAAAAATAAAAGTTTTTATGAATCTAACTTACAGACCAGCTGAGGTCTGCCCTAAATAAATTGCAGGAGTGCTCCAAGAGGACCCAAGTGGCCGAGGGCCATGAACGGCTGTATCCCAGGTTCAAGTCTGACTGGAGACCTTTGTTGCATGTCATTGCCCATTCTCCCTCTACCTTCATTTTCTCTAAGACGAGCCTCGCCTCCATTACAGCAAATAAATGACTTTCATTCAATGTATCATCAGAGGAATAACTAAACATAAGACACACTGAGCAGAGAGAGCAGGAGAGAGAGAGGGAGAGATGACCAACTCTACGTATCAAACAGAGGGAGTCAGACATAAAGACCTGCCTCTAATAAAAGTCTGTTACGTTCTGGAGTTGAAGTAAATAAAGACTAAACTATTGTGGATCCAGACGGAGGCTGTGCTCTGTGTGAGAGACTGAATAAGAAAGATAGTCTGTCTCGGGCCCCATGGTTCACCTGGTGGAGCACGTGACATTTGGACTTTTAGTCCTTGCTGCGACGGCCCGGGTACGAATCCAGCCTGTGGGCCTCTGCTGTGTGTCATCCTCTCTCTCAGGATTTGACAATAGGTCCAGACATATATCAAGTTTTGACCTAGTCTCNTATTGTGGATCCAGACGGAGGCTGTGCTCTGTGAGAGAGACTGAATAGCAAAGATAGTCTGTCTCAGGCCCCTTGGTTCACCTGGTGGAGCACATGACATTTGGACTTTTAGTCCTTGCTGCGACGGCCCGGGTACGAATCCAGCCTGTGGCCCTCTGCTGTGTGTCATCCTCTCTCTCAGGATTTGACAACAGGTCCAGACATATATCAAGTTTTGACCTAGTCTTGTTTAAAGTGACACAATCAGTTTGTACTCCTGGCTTAACCCTGATGACATCATCAGAGGTCATCATCATCTCCACAGACCTGACAAAGCTCCTCCAGAGCAGCAGCAGATGTTAGACAACAGGGTGTCTGCATGTAGAAAAAAGCAGGGAGTCTTGATTATGACCGAGAGAAGTCGTCTTGTTCTCTTTCACAGACAGTAATGATGTAATATCTGAGTGCAGGCTGCACTTATTAACTATAAGTGGGATTGTTGTGACAGTGGATTGAGCTGCAAGAGGCTGTTCATCCTTCTTCTTAGAGTTTCAGACCCATAGGTCTCAGTTGCTGCTGCTACAGCTCATCCACTCATAATGAGCCAGTTTGAGCCAAAAACCTCAATTAACTTCGTTACTTGATTGAACACTGATTAATCCCTCCATCTCGTTTATGCTGCTCATACATGAGCATGTCCAGGTCTTGTTACTTTAATTAAGGAGTTATTGTTATATACGCATGGGATGTACTGAAAAAATGTGATGTCATAATTAATAATCATCCCTTTCATACTTTGGTTTGATGATTGAGTTGAGTCAGACATTTTGAACCCTGCAGGCTGAGCTGTTGTCCTCAGCACACTGTACACTATAATTAAACTATGTGCAACATACTGTATTATCAATGAAAACAACACTGCGATCTGACTAAGCATTCGATACCAATTTTCATTCAATTTTCATATTATGTTGCCACGGATACAATTCAGTTGGTATACAAAAAGTTTAATACCCAGCCTTAGTAAACAAATCAGTAATTCCATTTAAAACTTTAATGAAATATATGTTTTAAAAGCTTTTTCATTTTTGCTAAAAGTTATAATCAAATTATAGTAAAACCACAACAGGACACTGTGGACAGCTGGACCAGCAGGACGTCAACACTCCCCCCAGCAGCCGGCCCACTGACCCACTGGATATAAATAAAAGACTTGACCCTGCAGTGTATAAAAAGCCAGAGTGGTGTATCTGAACAGGAAGTCACAGGTCCCCGATACAGCAGCTGCTCCAGTGTTAGAAGTGTAGTCCTCCAGGTTTATGTTAATGAGTTCATGTAAAAACACCATGTGACAACAGTGATTGACAGTTAATAATAATAATATACAGTTCAACCAGAAATACCAGCATTTAAGTATGCTGAAAGATTTAAGTTAAAACATGATACAGAACCATCAAAACACACACACACACACACACACACACACACACACACACACACACACACGTATATAGAGCAGCTGTGGTGTCCTGTCAGACAGTTGTCTCTTGGTTTAACAGATCGTGAGGACACACAGCTCAGCTCTATGGGATGCCATCTAAATTCATATTAAATAAATAGATAAATGCATGAATAAATAAATACAGCTATGAAATTGCAAATCCTGAAATAAATAAATTAGGTAATATATGTAGAAATATATAGATAAATGTAAATATAAGTATAGTTAATTAGAAAAATACCTATACAAGTGAATAAATAAATAAGTAGTAACAGATAAATAGTGTGTGATTCAGAGCTGACCTGCTGCTAGTAGTACAGTGATGGTCGGGTGCTTGTTCTGGAGAGACCTCCAGCAGCACAGGAAGGAGCTGCTGTGTACATTGTGTATGTTGATACGGTTTGTGTATCTTTAAAATTGAGCACTCAAAAGTTGACAAACCGGTTTTCTTCAAATGATCATGTGATCAGGGTGGACGTTTCTATCTGCAGTAACAGGTGTAAAATGTAATGCATACAGAAGAAGCTCAGTCTTGGACTTGGACACTGTTTATTAAGACTGGTTTGGCAATTATTCCTCACAACAAGGGTTAGGTGAGGGTTAAAACAAGGGGCTCTGGCACAAGGTGACCATGAATGTTAAAAACACAGTCTCTTTATTAAAACCATCCATAACTGGTTAAAAATATCCCTGTTTAAAATAACAGTAAAAGGATAAAAAAATAAAATCATCATCTCATAATCATGACAACCAAACTGTACTTAAATACTTTATGCTGTATATGAGTGATACAGGTTCATCTTGTCCTGGATGATTCATGGTTAAATCTACTGGAATATTCTTCTGTTGTCTTTCAGTGCTTGTTTCACTTAATGATCATTAATGCTAGAAAATTTACTGTACAATGAAACACGACAGTGAGATACAGTATAGTCCAGTGATATCAATATGATTCTCATTGATCACATAAACTGGTGTTTTCCCTGCCGTCCATTTAAATCCATTTGAATGACTTTATGTTCTGCAGGCTGTCATTAATGTCTGGTTGGTGGTTTAATGAATGAATCTTATATTTCAGTGAAGAAAGCCTTTATTTTGAAGTGAAGCTGTAGATGTATGATAAATTCCTCTTTTCTTTTTCCTCCTCACTCTCTGTCCCTCTCTCTCTCTCTCTCTGTTTGTCAGGCCTGAAGCAGCATGGAGGAGTCTGACCTGCTGAAGGAGAGGCTCCAGGCCATCACTGTAACACTTCACTCTGTGTCTCAACTCAGTATTGTAGCCATAGCTATCTGCTGCATTTAATTAACCCAAACAATGAATGTTGGAGAATTAAAACAGTGTGTTAGGGCCACATTGAGGAAAGAAAAATCTGAAATTTCAAGAAAAAAGTCATAATATTTCAAGAATCAAGTCGTAATTTTACAATAAAGTTAAATTGAGAGAATGAAGTTGTGATTTTAGGTTGTGTGTTGTTGCTGAGTCTGTTCTATTGTTGGACAGACAAACAGCAGCTGCCAGAAACACCTTGTTTGATTGGTTGATGTAATATTCCTATATCCCTATTCTTTTTTCTCTATGAATTTTACATTATGAATTATGAAATTATTAACAACTTTTTTCTTGAAATATTATGACTTTTTTCTCGTAATTTCAGATGTCTTTTTTTTCCTCAAAGTGGCTAATACTCTGTCGTAGAGAATACAGTAGAACAGAGTAGTAATCAGGGAAGTGTATTAATAATATTATCTGCATCAGTCTGTGAGCTGTAACTCTTCCATTTGTCCTGCTGCATTAGGAGAAGCACCGTATTCAGGAAGACATTAGACAGAAGAAGCTGGAACTGGACACAGAGAAACTCAGATTTCAGCATCTGAAGGTTCAACACACACATTTATCTGTCTGAATAAATCTATGAATGTCAGCAGTGTATTATCTCTCTGAGTAGGAAGCCTGCAGTAATCACTCTGTCCATCTGTCTGTCCACACGTTATCATTAGTAGTCTGCTCATGCTCCACAGTACTGAAGCCTGTGTCTATCTGTCAAACAGAAAAAAGCTCTGAGGGAGCGGTGGCTCCTACAGGACTCTGCTTCCCACAATGCAACAGACTCACCACGGCATCAGAGCCTTCTGTCTGACCAGCAGCAGACCAGAGCACTGCAGCTGAATATCTGCAGGTACAAAACACAAACACACACACACATTTACCAGTCTGACCTACTGGACCTGCTGCTTACCTGCTGGTCTCCTCCCCCGACCAATCAGGATCGAGATGGAGGTGGAGGCTCTGGAGCAAGAGGAGTCTATGATTTCCACCAATGAGAGCTTCATACTCAGCAGACTGAAGGCTGTGGAGAGAAGTCCAGAGGAAATCATTAAGGTACACACACACACATGCACACACACACACACACACACACACACACACACACACACACTGTACTGTACTGTACTTCTATTATGTTGCTCTGACACTCATCTGCATTTTTTCCAGGAGGCCCAGGAAAACTTTGTTCCTGGTGAGTCATCACATTTTTTTCTGGATGTAACAGAGACCAAAGATGAATCCATGTTAACAGGTTTGTTTTCTGTCCCACAGAACCAGTTCAGGTCACCACAGAGATCCCCAATGTCCCAGAATCCCTTTCTCCGCTAGCCAATAATCACATTGAGCTCAACACACCAAAAAAGAGTAGGATCATTTTTACACGTTTTTGTGAAGTCAATCAAAGCACAGTGTATAAGTTGTGTGTGTTTAGGTTCAGTTCAGGATTCATCCTGCTGTCCTGTAGTTTGTAGTGGTAAAACTGTAAACTGGTGTTTCCAGTGTCAAACACTGGAAATTTGAAATGTGTGAAAAGTTTGTTGCATTGGATTCCAGGGACGACCCAGTTTATCTCAGGGCCATTTCAGACCTGGTAGTGAGAGAGAGAGAGAGAGAGAGAGAGAGAGAGAGAGAGAGAGAGAGAGAGAGAGCAGGGCATGTAGGGGTTGAATGAATTACAGCTATGAAATCAGGTTTTATCCATTTATATATATATATACATATATATATATATATATATATGTATATATATGTATATATGTATATATATGTTAATAGTAGAATATTTTGGGTTAATTATAAACTGTGTTGGATTAATCAGACTGAGACAGAGGACGTCAGTAGAGTAGTTGATCCTTCGATGTGGCCCAGGACACATTCATGTTCACGCTGTCAAAAGAATGTGGACACGTGGTCCACTCCACCTCTGAATGTGGTCTGAGTGATCCGATCTCAAATGCGGCCTCAATGCGTCTTGGGTGTGTTCACACCTGTCCACTTGTGATCAGATCAAATGTGAGCTAACCATGCTAGCATCTAATGGAAGCTGCACATTCTCTGGCAAAAATATGAGTGTGTAGAAGATACTGAGCTGATAGATGATTGTTGTTGGTATGGACCTGAACCATATGATCCATTGGAGTCCACTGTGACAGCTGAATTCAATTCCTGTAGAGATACAAACTGATCAGATCCACTGTTCAGTCAAACATGGTGTGAATTTTAAAAGGTTTTTTTTAGGAGATCAGTTTGCAGGTTCGTTGTGCAGTTTGGGACATAACAGAGAAATGAGTAGACATAGTGCTAAAGCACTAATGAAGGACGGGATACTTTTGGTGGAGGTAGATTTGTTAAACCCAATTTTGAGAACCATTACCAGAAGAGTAGCAGATGAACCTGTGGAGGTCAGAGGTTATCATGGTGGTTACATCAAGATATGGTATTTGACCACTGTGAACTGACACGACCTTCCTTCCCTCTGTGACTCAGCTGTGTTTGCCATGGAGATCAATGTGACCAAGAACCTGCAGACCGGGGAGAGCACCGTCCTCTCTACTGCGACTGTTCCCCCCGAGGAGGTACAGCCACACGACGGGCTCAAGGTTTACGAGGACAGCAGGAAGTGTGTCTACGCTCTGAAACCACAACAGGTATTATCATCATTAATAATAATGATGATCTTTATTTGTGTTGAACTTAAAACAATGTTATACGTAAGAAAACAAAAAACTAGAATCACCACCTCCTGGTTGTTTCCTCCACCAACCACCCAAGTTACAGGAAACATGGTCACAGTCTCTCCTTCCTGAGCTACAGTGTTAAATAATGACCAGAAGTGATTTTGCAGGACATGATGACGTCACAGTGAAGTTGACCTTTTGGATATGAAAGTTATCACTTAATTTTATCCTTACAGACTTTTGAGATAAATTGTGTCATGATTAGTGAATGAGTTTGTGAGTTATGGCCAAAAACATGTTTTGTGAGGTCACACTGTCAGAAGTAATAACATTCCCTCGTTCCTGATATATTGCATTCACAAGAATGCGAGATCACACCGACCTTGACCTTTGACCTTTTACCACCAAAATATAATCAATTTATCTTGAGTCCAAGTGAATGTTTGTGCCAAATCTAAACAAATTTTCTCTAGGTGGTCTTAAGATTCCACATTCAAGATGCCAAAACCATGTTTCGTGACATCACTGTGACCTTTGACCTTTGCCCACCAAAATGTAATCAGTTCATCCTTGAGTCTTAGTGAATGTTTGTCAGAAAATGATAAAAATTTTGGAAACAATACAAAGTAGATAAAAACAGACTGAACTTCTTATTGTTTGGCTCAAAGTTCCTCCAGGCATACTCTGTAAAATCCTCTACTATGATTCATATTTAGTTTAACATGGTTTTTCACACATTAAACTGGCCACACCCACCACCTGCTTGCTCCAGGTGGACAGGTAATAGAGCAGAGAGTATCAAGGTGGTTAAAGGAGTAAATCATCATCATCATCAGAGAGACTCAGCCACATGTTTGAGCCTCAGTCAGACCCAGACTCAGAGGAGGAGTCTGAGACCAGAATCAGAGACTAGCAGACTCATCAGAGCAGTTAGCGTAGTTAGCATCTTTTATTTGTTTATGTTGTTTGTTAGCTTGTAACTAGCAGTGGCTTACACAGTGTCAGTGGTTGTGCTAATGCTAACTATCTCTCTGTACTGACGGGTAGCCCCGTCCCCACAAGTTGACAGGATTGGTTCCTGAGGTTTGTGACGTATGGCTGGCTGTCTGAATCTGTGTTTATGAGACTGTCATTGGTTCACTGCAGTTCAAGGTGGAAGCACTCAGTCATGGTGTTGAGGATTATTTCACTCATCATATGTCTTGTATTTAGATCTTGGAAGGATGTGGAATTTATGGAGATAGAGAGTCATTGTCATAGCAATGGAAAGAAATAGATGATGTAAAATAAGTGTAAACTGTCTGATACTATGATCTGTCTGCTTTTCACATTAACCTCTCATTGTGTTCTCCTTATAATGACCCATACATCCTTTCTACTTTTAGGGGTCACATGACCAGACCTGTGTCTCTGAGCTGTCAGCACACGAGGTGGAACACCTCCTGAGAAGCGCCACAGTACATCGCCAAGTAAACTACCAAAGCTACCACCAAAACTCCAGCAGAAGGGAGGGCCACTGTTTCTACAGCTACCCAGATGACAGAGACAGAGTGGAGGGGTGTGAGCTCAGAAACCAGGGAGGACGTCATGGTAACCATGCCCTCAGTAACAGCACAGACTTCAGCTATAGGGAAAACTGGCAGAGAAAACCACAGGATGATTATCATTATGGTCACGAAGGAAACCATTACAGTAGGCAGGAAGAGAGACACAACCAAAGCAACCTGAGGGAAGGTCATCACTTTGGAAACAACAAGGGGTTGGGATTTCACTATGGCAACCGTCCCTACAGTTCTTACCAGGTGAGAAGCTGTCACAGTGTTCAGGAACATCGGCCTGCTATGCACCACAGCAACAGCTTCATCAGAAGCAATGGTAGGGTGAATGGAGTCAGAGCCAATGGCTGTCCTCCTCCCAGATCACATGACCAGGAAGCAGTGTCAGCCTACCAACCACAGCTCTGCTACACTCCAGCCAATTATATTCCTCTTACTGATTACATCAGTGTTGATGAAGAGGATCTTTATTGTTACCAACCCACTGCTCTGTACAGTGGCCCCACCCCCTCTGAGAGAGTGCCCTCCCCCATCTATGGGGACGACACCCCTTACACCATCCTTAATGCCATGGAAACCACTGAGCCAATCACAGCCATCTTTATGGGCTTCCAGACAGCACAGGATGACAGTGGGCGGGTTCAGGAATTTGAGGGCTCTTTGAAGGCCGAGCTGGTCATCCTGGAAGACAGTGAAGAAAATGATGAGGAGAAGAAGAGCCACACCCAGCCGGGGGTCAACAGCTTTTCAAAAGAAAGTGCAGCCAATGGAGGCTTGGGGCGTGTGGAGGCACATGGAGACAGACGGACAGAGAGACAGGTGAGACCAGGTATCAAAAGGATCCAGAAAAAACACAAACCCTGCTGTACTGTTTGCTAACGGGACCAACTCATGCATGTGTCCAGCTTCATCAGTCTGCTCACCTAACGATTAACTGCACAGACTAATCCATTTCTCACAGTGATGCTTGACATTAACTGAACTGTTGAGGTGCTAAGAGAATAAGGTTGGATGCTGGAATTCACGTCTGTTCTCTTATGAAACTGGAGACCTGATATCAACATCATGGTGCCATTCCTCCTACACAGGTAACTAGATAGGTTTACAATAGTGGGGACAGTTTGTTGACAAGATATTTGCATTATTCATAAGGTTCCAGTCATTATTTCCTGTGAGAACACTGAATGAGATGACTACAGGTAATGAAGGAGGGATCATTTATTCTCATCAACTCTGCAGCTCTTTGGTTTTATGTATCATTGAACTTTATATTTCTGTCTCACTGCTCTCATCTGATAATGTCTGTCCTCTTCCTGCCCAGCAGCACACAGCAGACAGACACAGGAAGTGGCTAGCTGGTAAACATTAGCTTAGCAGCTAAAGAATCAGATACTTTTCTCATGAGTTGGTGGAGAGTGAATTTTTAAATTCATCAGGTGGACACAAACACAACTTGACATACTGTAAATGTATGTGTTACTACATGTCGGGTGGGTGTATGTATACCTAATTATTTGCTAACATGTTAGCCTTAATGAGATTGTAAGTTGATATACCAGGTCATTTTTCAATTAATGCAGTTTAAAAGCAAAACTCTACCAGAAAATGTATCAAGTTTATATTATACTTTCGATGAATAAATGCATATGTAGAGCACAGCTCAACTGTTCTCCTGTGGTGCCCTCTGCTGGTGGCAGCATGCTGAGGTTGCCCAGTTCACAATAATGAGCAACTATAACTCATGCCTGATGCCTGAGTTTAAGCTAAAATTATTTTGAATTTTCATGAAATTTAAAGTGTTTTTCTAATATATTATATTGATGTGTACCATATACTGAAGTAGAGGATTTTATGGATTTACTCATAGAGAGTTTCCAAAGTAGGTTTCACAGGCAACCAGTGGTACCCAGAGATTCACGCTGTATTAATCCAACACAGTATTAGGGCCACATGGAGGGAAAAAAAATCTGAAATTTTGAGGAAAAAAAGTCATAATGTTACAAGAAAAAAGTCATAATATTATGAGAATAAAGTTATAATTTTAGGTTGCATGTTGTTTTAGAGGGGAAATATCAGAAGATTTAAAGTGAGGAACGTGGAGCATCCTGTAAAGTTCTACTTTAGCAGGTTTCACAAATAAGGAGAAACTTCATCTTTTGGCTCATCAGCATCAGGACATTGAAAAGATTGTGAAGAAACTGAGTCTATTCTATTATTAGACAGATAAACAGCAGCTGCCAGAAGCAGCTTTCACCTGTTTGGTTGATGTAATATTCCTATGACTTTATTCTTGTAACATTATGACTTTATTCTCAAAATTTCAGCTTTCTTTTTTTTCCTCAATGTGGCCGTAATACTCCGTCATAGAGAAATAACAGCAAATTCAATTATTTCAATTGACTAACACCGCCAATGCTAACGCAGTCCGAGAATATGCAAGTGTATTATGATTGGTTTAGCTACACAACATCAACATCAAAACTGATATCTTCACTAAGTAGGATGAGATGTGATGCAGTTTTCATTTCGGTGATGAACTCGCAATGAAAACCATAATTATGTCAAAGGCAGACTTCATTATTTACAGATTAAACATATACTCATATTAGCACGCAACCAAGTCAGTTGTTGTGAAGAACTTTTAATAGGGTGTTTTTTGTTTTGTCTAACCTTAGCTTTTGTCAAACTACTAATGCTTTTCAAATTTTTATACTAACTTCTGTTTGTACTGTACATACTGTATGTTTGAGTGCACGTCACATGAAACGCACGTGGATAGCGTGTAATGATGCTAATAAACAGGAGTTAAAATGGGATTTCATTCAAGAGAGCCAATAAAAAACAAATGGAGTGGTCACAGTTGTCATATTGATATTTAACGTGTGTTGACCTACACTAACTACCCATGACCGCCTGAATCATTTCAGTCACTGATGCTGCCTTCAGAGAGACTTCTGGGTCTGCTCCATCCACTTGAACTCAGTCATTCAGCCTGATGCTCCTTCTCTGTGTTCCACCAATGAATGTGGTCTGTCATCACCATCCCTGCACAGAAGACAGTCTCAGTCCAGACTGTTCTGGTCTGTGGTTCCCTGATGGTGGAACAAGCTACTGAACACTATCAGAGCAGGAGCGTCTCTCTCTCCTCAAGAATCTGTTGAAGACTCCTCTCTTCAGAGAGACCTCCTCCCCTAACACCTCTAACACCCTAACATGTCTAACAAGCTCTTACTGTAACTCTACCTGCACTTCTTCACCTGATCTCCTTCACTTACTAAATAGATGTAGTACTTACTACTTACACCAAGCTCTCCCACTGCACTGAAGCTTTAGTGATGTCCCCCACTGGTAAGTTGTTTTGTAGATAAGTGTGTGACAGATTAGTCAATGTAAATGTAATGAATGATCAAGCCTCAACCTCCGAGGCTGAAACATGAAGCCAACACTGAAGAACAGTGCAGTTCCACTAATGGCCACTAGAGTCTGGCTCCAACAGTGAGTCAATCCCCATAGACTCCCATGTTAAAATGTCCATCTTTACAGCAGACATAAACATCTTTACAAACTGGTACAAAAACATTTGGTCTCTAGAGCTCATTTCCTCCTTCATGACAACTGTTTATATAACTCACCTGTTTACATTTTATTAAGGTTTAAAGTTATGGATAATTGAGGGCGTGGCCTCTTTGAGTGACAGGAGGGTGAATATGCTTGCCACAAACCAACATGCGCCAAAGTCTCAGCTCCACATGCTCATCCTCAGCCCATTTTTTATTTTTGGATTAGCTGGGAGTTAGGGGCGGAGTTAGACACTACCAAGATGGCAATGGTGGAAGAGCTCACTCTGTGTTTCAGAAATCTGTGGATGACCTCACAGAGGCTATGTCAATCTTTATTTACAGTCAATGGTGATAATTCACAAAGTCAATTGAGTAACATGTAAAAAAGCATTCCACCTTAAAAGTTGCTGGTAGCTTTTGAGTGACTGAGTGAATTCAGTAATTTTTTCTCGAGTTTGTATGTTAACTAATAAAGATGAAGAAGCGGCAAAATATACTTTCATTTGTAGGAACAGCAGTCGTATGACGTCGTTCATTCAAGGGGCAACCTCAATGCACAGTTGTGATCGCTGTGAATAAAAAAATCATTGCACACATTCATGCGAAACAAATCCTCGACAAACCCAAAGAGGAGAAGCTGGAAAAGATATAAAGATATGTGACTGCATGAACACAGCTGACTGTCTCACTGCTACAACGGCTGTCTTTCTGACAGCATACCACATCATTGGAAAGGACCTTAACTCAGAAGAAATCAATTTAATAGAATTGCAGCAACTAAATAGGGTTGAGATTGGCAACGGTCTACATTCAAGGTACAGTGCTGCAAAGATCATCAAAAGATTTTCAGCCACATAAAAGAGATTAAAGGAAACATCTCTATAATAATTGACGAGTCCACTACCTTCGGTAACAGAAGCACATTGATAGTACGATGCTGCGTCAGAAGAGAATCTTAAACTTATACCCAGCCATTGTGACTTGGCACCGTCTAAATCTTAGTGGTGGGTGACTGTGTCTCAGAAGTGGCAGACGTGAACCCCTTCCAAAGTTTCATGGATGAAGATAAACCCTCTACAGAAGATCACCTCAAACCCAGAGGCAGCAAGATCTCCACTAGAAACTAACCAGCACTCCTGATAGACGTTGGGAGGCCAGCTTGTTCCACACTCTGGCTTGCAAAGAAAACTGTGATTTGACCATCATGTACAACGTCCAGAACGAATTGGCTCGTCTGTCTAAGAGCATACAGAACATCTCCATCACATACAAGTCCTTGAACAAATGAAAGACTCACCAGGCACAGAACTGTTGAGGCCCACATAGCAGCATCCACAGGTAAACTGGGAACAGTGGAGTTTGTTGACGATGCCAAAATTGTGAGCATCGACTGGAAAACGTTTCTGTCAAGTTGAATTAGCAACATCTGGAATCACGTGTTCAACCACAGACTGTAAATAAAGATGGACGTGGCCTCTGTGATTTAACCCAATTGGTTTTCTGAAGAGCAATTCTGAAGCCCGGAGTGGGCACTGTACAATCATGTTGGGCTGTCTCACTTGGAGAAAGTTTCATGTAGCAATTCTCAGTCTGCGATAAAGGCTCTTTGAATTAAATGCACTGAAATGTGAAAGTGTTGTCATGTTGCTTGGAGTCAGTGCTGAAGTGAAGTGTTCGGTCTTTTGTTTGGAATCCAGTTCTATTTTCTCATGTTGGAGATCGATCGATGTAAAGATAGATATATAGATATGATAGATACAGTATATAAAGTAATATATGTGCTGGGTTACCTCCTTCGCAGACTTGTTTACATGCAGGTAATAAAAAAGTTTTCTTCAGTGTTCAACAGGTCATAATCAACTTATTAGTTACATCACTAATCTGAGCATTAAATTCCACCTTCCATGTGCCTTCACTCTTACCTCATTCAGAAATTGGTGGAATGTGGTGGCGAACACCTTGTCAGACCACTTAGTTACTGAAAGGTGATGATGGAAGTTTTGACCAATGATGCCAAAAGAATTACTGTCGACCTCAGCTTTAATCAAAGGTGCTAGAACACCATCCCAAATCATTTAAGCCCTGCTTACAAACCTTTGTTACCGACTGATATTAACATCTCATTCTGTCTGTGTTGATTTAACCATCATCACAACACAACACTTCCTGACTGTGTGTCACATTAATCCTGTATGATGTGAATCAACTCAGATGTGCCTTCATGCTGGATATCAGCTTGTGTTAGTTTAAATTGGCACTGATGTTAAGTTGTGTGTGTGTGTGTGTGTGTGTGTGTGTGTGTGTGTGTGTGTGTGTGTGTGTGTAATATGCTGCTGACAGCATCAGGTTTAATAACATGACTGATAGCATTTGTATCATTGGCACAGACAGACAGTCAACATTAATCTGTCATTGAAGACAGTGGTGCTGTTGTTATTGTTCTGAGTCAGTCCATTGGTATTTAACATTAACATTTCATGTTTACAATGAGACTACTCATGAAAGTCAGTTACTGTTAATTATTGATGTTCCTGAAACTGGAAAAGTATAATGCTGCTTAAAAATTGTCAATGGAGATTTGAGCTGTTGTTGTGTCAGCAGCAGTCAATGAAAGAAATGTGACAAGAAGAGATATGGAACTGAGAGTAGTACATAGATACTGACCATGATAAGTTCAGCAAACTTACTGTTCAATTACAGTCCACACACCTCAAGAGAAAAGACAATTCTCAGCTCAAGTCTACTTACTTGCTTGTTCCCAGGTATTCAGCTGAATCATACAGTCTTCACAAGCAGATGAGTTTGTTTTGACAATACGATTCTTTTGTTTTTGTTTTCCCTTACAGAAAAAAACACATGAATTTCCCATGTTTTCCACATATATGACATACATGTTTCCTACATTTGAACACGTGTCACATGGTAACCATGGTACCATGTAGAGCACATGTGGAAAGCATGTTACCACAGGTTATAACATGTCATAAATACTGCTGAATGGCTCAGAAGTTTCACCATAACATTTTCATTTTGTGAGTACTGACAAACATGCAAATAAACAACAACAAACTATGCACATGGGTTTGACATGTAATCCCAAAGGTCTCACATGTAATCCAATAGATTTCATGGGTTTCACACATTACACCATGAAAATGTTCCAAAACCACATCTCTGGTGAGCCAGCACGTCTGTTCTATACATTCCTTGTTTTATGTGATTGTCAAGAGTGAGGAGGCAGGAAACATGGTTGCAGTCATGTGGCATGGACCTGTAGCTATTCGGCCACCAGAGCGCTCCAACAGCTTGAACAGCTACAGTTCCACAGCAGCAGAGCAAACTTAATCTACTGATGAAGACCTGGTGTTTCAGTCAAAAGATCCAAACCAAGCAAATAAGTGGACTTTGAGTTGAGACTGTTTGGACAACAGCAGTTGTCTGAACTGAACTGTTTTTTGTGCCATGTTTTTGTGTTTTGTGTCATTGTAGGAAACACACATAACAAAATATTAACGATGGTCCAGCTCTATTAACTGTGATAGTGTGACAGTGATGACCAACACAGGACAATGAGCATAAATCATTGATGTCACTATTAACACCTGTGTTCAAAATGCCTGATGTGCAACAGACATACTGTATGTTTACAGACCCACTTGTTGCAGAATCAACCTCAGCAACCTTTGTCTTGGTGGTGCTGCATGTTAATTGATTTAGTACATGAAGTTAATACATTTACATTTTTGTTTTCAGCATTGTTCTTTTAAGTTAGTGAGTCATCTCGATGCCACACTAATGACAATGTCTGTGTCTGTGTGTGTGTGTGTGTGTGTGTGTGTGTGTGTGTGTGTGTGTGTGTGTGTGTGTGTGTGTGTGTGTGTGTGCTGTACAGATGAGGTGTGAAGGAGGCGGGTCAGTCCACCTAACATGAAGCAGCTGGTGAGGTTGTTGTGTGCTGCTGATCAAGCTGCTGCTCAGCCTCCACCTTCACCTGCCAGAGCTTCTTCATTTAGCGCGCCTCATGTTCTGTCTCCTCATCGGAGGACGTGTGGAATAACTAATTATCTTCACGGTGTCTTTGGAGTTTAAATGAATTAGTCTGACAACAAATACTTTCTGTGTCACAGTGTCTTTTTTTGTTTGTTTTTTTAGGAAATATTTAAAAAATACCTTTTGTATGATGCTAAACCCAAGGGCATAATTTACCCCACCCCACCCCACACACACACACACACACTTTTACAGTTTCAGTTTTGCTTTTCTAAAATCTTTCTAACAGTGTCCTAGTTCTGTCCAGCTGTCACAGATGAGAGGAGGGAGCAGGACAAAAGAACAACAGCTATTACATCAGGTTTTTTTTAGGCCCTGGATTTTGTTTGTCAGGCCACAGACAGACTACACTGTTCTGTGGCAGAGCGGGGGTCATTCACAGCCTCAGAGGAAGATCTGTTCAGGACCGATCTTTAAATATTGACATTAATTACACAGCAATACTGACCTACATTTTAGCTAACATTAGCCACTATGAAACTCCTGGTCACACCAGACGGGTTGTTTGAGAAAAACCCGTGAATGCATTGAACTGAGGAAGAGTTTCCTTTATTATGATCATTTCTATTTTTCATTTGTAAAAGAAAGATTTATTTTATTTCTTCTCTCAAAGTTACACAGTTTCACTTTAATATTTTCTCAAAAAGATACAAGAACATCAGTCAAAGATAATCCTTTAAAGAACACAACATAGATCATATCAAGTTAAACTAAATGTGATTTTAAGTAAGGTTAATTAATTAACAATGCAGCAGTTGTTCATAGCATTTCTAATTCTATGTAGTATTAACATGGAGAGCATGATCAGCCTCATCAAAAGACTGATTATTATTTAGTTAATTATTTATGTCGGAGCCTCTGATTGTAACAGAGACACTGTTACCATGAGTTACCATATTTAGACAAACTGAAATCTGATCTGACTGGCAGTTACTGGTGGAAAACCATTTCCATACAGGAAGTTATTACTGCAAACTGAAATTATGATTACTTTAAATGATGATTTAAATGATCTTCAAACCCACTGATCAGCATCATCTTCGTGTCTGACCTCCAAAATGGCTGCTAACCAAGGTTATCATCATGAACTGAAACTAACAAAATAATCAAAACTAGATTTAAAAAAACATTTTCAATAACAGAAAAAAAAAATAAAAACGAAGCATTTTAAAAAAAACTAACTGAGACTGTATGTGTATTTACAAAAATAACTCAAACTAAAATTACACAAAAAATGTCTTTGTCAATTTGAGTTTTATTAGACAATACTTTTTCTGACCTTTTTTAATCTTGATCTGACAAATCCCCTATACATATATATCTATATATATATATATATAGATATATATATAGATATGTAGGTATATGTATATAAAACTATAATACTGACACTTAACTAAACTTGCAAATAATAAAAACTAAACAAATCTGCTTTAAAAACTAATTCAAACTACAAAGTACAAACGAAATAAAAAAAAACCTTGCTCCTGACAGATAAACAGATGGTAATCACACACAGTAGGTTTCAGGAGTCACACGCTTTATTGAAGATGTCACCACAAGACCTTTAATTTGGCAATAACAAATAAATAAATAAATAAATAAATAAATGATACAAAGGCAAATAAGGTCAGAAAACAGAACCAGAATTAATGACACTAGTGAGGAAATGCTTTAATAGTCAGGACAGCTGTTTATATGAGTCCATACAGAAAATCCTAGCAGATAGTGTGTAGTGTCAAATACCTGACAGGAGAGAATCAGAAAATGTTAAAGAAGATTATGACAAAATACGCTGTCTCCTCAAAACTAAAACTAATGCTCCGTATCTTAAATAGTTGATGGCATAAACTGCACTGAAGCTAAAGCTGAACTCAGACAAGGTATGGATATGAATACAAGACCCCAACTGCAATGAAATCACAGGGCAAACACTGAGCATACAGTGGTGTGTTATCATACAGTTTATCTACCACAGCAACATCATGACATGCTGATCTCAAAACAGGGCAGCTATCACTGTGTATTCAACACATCTCAGAGTCTGATACATCACAACTTTAAAGGGTTCAGATTTTTTCAAATCTAGCTTAATACAATACTCACATGCCACATAGAACACTGGCCCTGGACTGATCCCTTCTTAACATGAGATAGCAGACATAGGGGACAGTAACCATTATGTGCAAAAAAAAAAATTAACTCAAGCTAATGTGAGGGTATAGAAATTTGAGTTAGCCAAATCAAGCTACCAGCTATCGATTTTCCAGAGAAACAATAAACGTATGAGATGACATTTTAAGCTTCATTCTCTTCATGCATCTGGGTAGCGAGGGTCCAAGCTGTAGCATCCACAGAGCATGTTTGATGCCACTAAATGTAAATCTACTAAAGAGCAATGAGGACTCTCTCCTGCTCCTGTCATTCACTTCTATAGCTTTGCTTTAATGGCTGACCTCAGCCTGTGGTAATGACTGATAGGCTATTTTATCAAATAAGATGCGGACAAGGTAGTTTGACAAACAATCACAAACTCATGCTATTGCTTCACCTTTGATCTTGCATCATAATTTTTTAAAGAAATACGACTCTGGAGGTTTGTCCATCTCATTAAATTATATTTTTGTTGCGCAAGAAGCAAAGCAACAAAGACACAATCATTTAACCATCTGCCTGGTTTTGTGCTAACATCAGACTTGGTGAGGAATTACATATTAATATTTCAAATACATTATTACTTTATTTGGGTTCAGTTCAGGTAAGGGGAAACATTAACTGATAGGAAACTGTCTTCTACACAACACTGGCAATATACCTACACCACACAGTCAGGATAAAGAAAGCCACTTAATTTAGCTAATTCAGTTTGATCCTCTGTAGCTTACTTTATACTGTAATACAAAATACAAATACAAATGTGATGCTAAACTGAAACTGCTGCCATTAACATGGTTTGATTTCACCATGACAATTAATATCCCCTTTCTGAATTGACTTGAATGCACCTTTACTCCACAGCTGAACTGCGTCTAGTTTACAGGGTAAACCAGTGAGTGAGCTCGTGCTGGAGCTAGAAGCCAAACTATAGTAAGCCCTGACTAACTGAGGAATGAAGGATGGGTTAGCATACACTCATACACACATGCACACAATGCGCACAAAAGCCGTCTCCTAGAAAACATGGCAGACTTCCAATGTCAAATAGTCATGGTGACACGATATATATATTAGAAACCTTTTACAAATAAAAACTTTAAGATTTATAAGCACTGCTCAATTCATAAATATAGGCAGCAAAAATACAATACATCTCTTTCTAGGAATCAAGACAGGACATAAAAATATGTAAAAATCTTCACTTGACATTAGGGTTAGAATATCTGATTCGTTCAGGAGTGCTCAAGTTTTTTGCTATAACAGCAGAGCCACAGATAGATAGAGTCTATAGAGATTTAAAAAAGTGTCTGGACTCGACTATATGCACCATGCTAATACACAGAAAACTAAAACATTCTGGCTGTAAATGTTGTAATAACATCCATAAAACCACCATGGTGTCTGTTTTTAAAGGTGTTCAGACTGAATGTGGATTTTTGCCTCAAGTTTATTCATTTGACAGCTGTGATGTTTTTATGGTCTGTTTATTCGACCCAAACAGCGAACATAGACATTAGCTGGAAGGTAGCTATCAATTGAGACGTTAGCACAAAGCTAGCTAGCTATGTACAGTAGCTGGAAGCTAGTCTGGTGTAGGCAGACTTTTCTCCACAGCGCTGTGTCAGTGCTGGAGCAAGGTCTGACTTCACCCATTATCAGTGTGCTATAGGCTATATGGGGAAATATGCTTTGGCTTGTTTGCATTTCTTTAAGTCAATCACAATTGTCTTGGGCAGTGTTGAGTCGAGGATGCGGCAATGGTACTCCTGTAAAACAGTGTCGGAGGGACCTTCATTATGGATCATCATTTAAATAGCTAAGAGATAACGCTACAAAAAACAGCAAAGATATATGTCAACTGTGTGATTGCACAATAGAAATCCTCTTTAAAACTTGCCATTTTCAGCATGTAGGTTGTTAGTTACGAGGTTGTCATTTCCCGTAGCGACAGGGATTTTAAAAACAATGACAGGCACGGGAAGCAGAAAGGGAGGAGAATGCCGCCTACATCCAATAAGTCAGACTAGCTGGAAGCTATTTAACTATATATGTTAGCTGGAAGCTAGCTAGCAACAACTGATTGTGCTGAGAGTGAATATGACCCCATTCCCTTTGCATTCAATCTGAAAACACAGGCCATATTTTCTCTGGTATCCACAGTGGACTCTTTTTTTGCAATTTTTGTCACCAGTAGTGGTGACATATTTCTTCAGAAGCTAATGATTGCTGCCTTGACAAATGAGTACTTCTGCTTGCTGTTCCAATAGTATGATGAAGAGCAGCAAACAGAGTTGACCAAAACTAATGTTATATTAAGTTCCTAGCTGATGAAAGTTATTGATTTAAAAGTAGGCTACGGTTCAACTTGTGCCATTGTTGGTTTTGTGTAGGACATCAACAGCTTTTGTCAAAAATGTCCATGCTGCGTGCTGTATGCCTTATATTCCGAGGAGAGAGTAAAGAAAATGAGGATTGCTTGCAGCTTTGAGATTGAAATATTTTCAAAATATTTGAAATAGTTATTTGTTCTTTCCACTTGTTGATAAGAAGCCCACAAAACTGAACTCTATCTGGGTTACAACCAACCAAAGAAGAGGCAAAAGTTAGTATGTGCAACTGTGACCCAAATGATGTTCAGTTAGCAGATAGCGCTGTTTAGCCAACATGGCTGAGACAGAAACCTGGGACATCCAAACTCCTCTGATTAATGGCTCATTATAACATTTCATTACGGCAGTGATTTTCAAAGTCTGGGTTGGCCCCTTTAAAATACATAAATTGTCATTTGAACACAACATGCTAAATTATTTTTGCATTTACCTTCTCAAATCTCTGTAATGCATAGCTAGTATTTCAAAATACACATATGCTTTTAAAGAAGTCACTTTAAAATATATTAAAATCTGAAATTAAAATGCGACTGCCCAGAAAAGGTTTGAAAATCACTGCATCACAGTCAATCATAATTACAAAAATCAATCAATATCAATAGTGCCATAAGTTATTAACATCTAGCTAACAAAGTGCTGTAAATATTAAATATTAAATATTAAAGAATACAGCAGATTTTGACATGTGCTTCCTGATTTTACATAAAATATTGGCTCACATGTCAAAAACTACGGTATTATTGTGGTTGCAATTTTATACGCAATTATTATTGTTGTACACCTCCTAGGAAAGTGCCTCAGAAGTCCACAGAAGTTAATATATATTAGGAAAATGTTTAAACAGTTCCATTGCGTCATACAGTCATACTCTTTCAGACAGCATGCATAAAAACACTTTGACTTTGAAAAAAGGATTTGTCTACTTTCCAGCCAAACTAGGTAAATGATCTTAATCTGTGAAACCAAGCTTACTGAAAGAAGCAGCCCTCTTCTCTTCTAATGTGGCATCCCACAGAAAACAGACTCATAGACCCACTGGCTCTAACCCACAGTTTGGACAGACACTGCAGGAGACTTCTGCTGCTGACAGACAGGAATGTGTGAGTTTTTAAGGACAAAGTAAGGAATAAACAAAGGTGTGGGACTTCATTTTGGCTTTTAAATGGCTGTCGTTGCTCAATCCTTCTTCTGATTGGCTAATAGGGAGGCCTCCCATCGTTGCGCCATGGCGTTCTGTCGTTGAGGCACCGAAGAGAGGGAAGGGGGGAACTGGAGGGAGGGGGAGATTCAGCTAAACCACTGGAACCAAGGATGGATGGATGGATGGATGGATGGATGATCATATTGGATAATCGATGGATTTTGAAAAAGAAGAATGAACACAGGATGGGACAGTTGGAGGAATTATTGGGCAGATGGATGCAGGATTGATGGGTAGATGAAAAAATTAGCTGAATAATGAATATATTTGCTAAATTGTGAACTAATGAATTAAAAAATTAATCAGTCCAACTGATTAACAAATCAGAAAGTTCACAATTAATAAAGGTAACAAATGAGTGAATGAGTAAAGGAAGAAATCAATTATCCAACATGGAAATCTCAAAAGAAAATTATGTTATGTACTGATACATGACGCAATTCAACAAAATAAAATCAGTTTAACAGTGCACTGTCCAAAAGTCTTTATATTGAATGTTTGTATCAGGAATAATGGAGTGAATATTACTTATTATTTATCAGTATTTATATAAACAATGGCAGTCGGCAATTTATTAGGAACACCTAGCTATTGTAATTAATGCAGTCTAACACAACAGTCCTGCAGTAGACCCTGTACTTACAACTGTAATTATTTTGGAGGATGTAGATTGTGTTGCTGTTGAACTATATTACATTTGGTTATATGAGGTGTTTCTGTTATTTAGCTTACCCCCCTTGGCTATGTTCACACTACTACGTTTTCATTGCAAAGCAGCTTTTTTAAACAAAAACTATCCCTGTCCACACCTGAAAACACATACGTACATTACCATTCACCTACACTGAGCATGTGCAAGCCAGTGTAAACAGGAAGCAGCTTGTCTACTCTGCAGTTGGTTAGTTACAGTAAATCCTCTGAATGAGGAACAGTAAAGAAAGTTGTAGCATTAAGACAACAAGGTCAGTAACACTGTAATTCATTATCATGTTGTATTCACCACTGGTAGTTGAGGCTGATGAGAGCCAATCAGGAGAGACCGTGGTTGTTTATGTCATCGTTTCCAAAGGTCTCAGTTTCTGTCAGTCAAGATACAACACGACCCCAGAGTTTTCAAAATAAAACGGGTCTGGCAGAGTTTCTGAAAGTCTCAGTTTTCAGTGTTCAATAACTCCGGAGTAGTGTGGAAGGCAGGAGGAAACGTACCAAAAGAGATGAGTTTTAAAGCGTAGTAGTGTGGCTGTAGCCTAAGACTTGTCAGTGCCTGGTCCCCTAATGAAGAAGCATCTAAGCACCACTTTATAGGGTAAGGTCAAGACCACTTTATTATAGAGAGAAACCCAACAGTTCCCACAGTGAGCAACACTCAGAGTAGGGGAAACCTAGGTGAATTCTTCCTGCAGAGCTCTTTCTTGGTCATATGACCAGGTTTCTAATAAGCTTTTTACATGTACACACATGCATGACAAAAGACTACAGGGGAAGTAACAGCCTACCAGGGGTTATTAAGGCGAGAACTACACAGAGTGTCTTTGTATTTAAAGTAATTCAACTAACACTGAAACTAGCACAGAGTATCCTCCAGACATGTCTGCATCTTCTGTCACTGATACAGTTAGAATAAGTAAACAATGGTTCCAACATAAGAGAAATCTGATTAAAGACCTGCCGCATGTGTTCACAGATTTCATGTTACTACACTGCATGTAGATGTTAATCTCCAGTTACCTGCGTAACTTGGTTACTTCCGTGCATGTTAACACAATGTATGGCTAAATGAATGAATAACAGAATGTGAGCTTGAGAGAGAGAGAATCTCTAAAGACGGAAAAGCCTGGAGATAAGTCAAAGCTACATGTGTGAGGGCGATAACATGTCTGCAGCACATTGTTTACATTGTAACAGTCTGTCACTTTGCCTACATAATTTTTTTCAGTTTTAGCCAAAGGGATTTTTGTCTATTGTGTTTACTATTGTCTGGAATCTTCTAAATAAAGCAAGTCTTGCTCAGGGAAGCAGAGGTTCAACACAGCTATTGGACAGATGGCCAGTACTTTTAAAACTCATGTACATGTAAGCTATAGAGTTGGACTCCATACCAAGACTGCATCAGGCAACTCTGTTTCCAGATAGACTGATGTGTGTTGTGGATAGGGCTGCTTATATAACTTCCTCTATACCAGTTTTATCAAATTCATTTTAACAGAAAGAAAATTACAATACACATTATTGTATACATTTTAGTTTTAGTTTTGTTTTTAAGCTCAGTCTCTTTAAACATTGTGTAAATGAACAGCCAATCACCAGCTTTATTAGATCTTGGTCCAAGTTGCATGCTGATTGGTTCACTGACGCAGATTTACTCATTTACTCCTCAGGTTTCAAAATATGAGGCATTTTTTGATCCTTGATAGTATCAAACTTATTTGGTCGGTCCATAAAAGTATCAAGGTTCTATACCCAGCCCTAGGTGTGTATGTGTGTGTGTATGTTAGCCAACCTTGTGGTCACAAGACAAACTGGATCGTTCCATTTTGCGGGTTCTGGAGGGGGACGAAGGCGAGGAGACACATCTGTCTGAAACCTCTGGCACTAGTGTATGAAGTGAAATGAAGGACACAAAAAGACCATTTGATTACACTGGGAAAAATACTTATTATATTATAGAAACCAAAACTCAAAAAAACTCATTCTGCCCAGCTCTGTACCTGGTATTCACTGAAGGTACAACACACCATCATCTGAAAGTGAGTTATCTGAGTACAGCTACACCCAATTCATTTTCAGTATTTAGACATGTGGACAATACGTACCGTTGTAACTGATGCTATCATTCAGGCCTGGAGACACCAGCACTGTGTCGTACCTCTCTCTCCCTCTCCTCCACTCCTCCTCTCTTCTCCTCCTCCACATCTCCTCCCTCTGCCTCCTCCACTCTTCCTCCCTCTGCCTCACCATCCTGATCTCCTGCTCCACAAGCGACTGGCTGCTGAGGGAGCGCAGCTTAAAAAACGGATTGGACGAGAAAGTGCTCTCCTGTGTTTCCATGGCCACGGGGGCAGAGCTCAGGCAGAACTCGGAAGCACTGCGAATGATCAGGTTGGAGGTTTCTACTACAATGACGTTGGCGGAGGGCACCACGTCCAGGCTCGTCGGCCAATCGGAGAGACCTCCGATTGCAGAGGAGAGTAGGCGGTTCCTAGAGGCAGAGCCGGAGGAGTCGGGCTCCAGGATGATGACGTTGTTGGCGGTCATTTCATGGTAGACGGATCGGGGAAGGGAAGAGGAGCAGGAAGGGGAAGGAGAGATGGACAGAGTAGGAGTGCGGCAGGCAGGAGGTCGGGGTGGAGATCGTCCCGTCTGCAGGGTGGATGGTCTGAAACACATGAGGTCCAGTTTTGGCTCAATCTTTTTTCCCAGTCGACAGAAACAATGAAACATCCATAGATTGTTTTTCAATCCTGTTACAGTGGAAGAAATTAAGTTTATATCTACAGCTATTTAGATTTTATTTTTGATATTTCATATTTGTAAAGCTGCACTAATAAAATTGTTACATTAACAATGGATTACATCAACAACTCACCAACTCTGTACTGTACCTCTCTGCTCTGCAGAGTGTTTTAGCTTTTTTAGTTTATTCTTTTGTTTTTTTGGCCTGAACAACTTGTTAACAGACACAACTGTCTGTTTTCAGGAAAAAAAAAGCTCTGATAGACTGTTGGTGAGTAGCTGTGAACATGGTGGAGCATGTAGCAGCTTAAAAACTCTCTATGGTTAGAGCTGAAAGGAGAGTGAATACTGGACCAGACACACAACTTCATAGAAATGCTAATATTGTTCCATTTGTGCTGGATTTTCACATGTCCCATTATTGTGGACATGATATCTCAGTTCAAACGTACAGCTAGTGTTCAGATGGTGATGCATCCTCCCCCCCATTCCTCCTCTCAACCTGCTCCATCCCCACATTCCTCTACACTCCATCATGCAAAACCTATCTATACATTTAATGCATTTACTGCACCACAAAGGTGATCCTGCTGAACGTCTGGTTCTTCACTGTCACAAGCCTTGAGAGCCATATACGGTCCTACAGAGCTCATGTGATAGGATGGTAGTTCATTTTACCTGGGTATAGTCAGGCCCTGTGCAATCAGCCCCCTCTCCCTGCGGTGCCTTTCCTCTCTCTCCAGAGTCAGTCGGATCTCTCTCTCCACAGCGGTCTCTGGCTCCTCCAGGGGGCTGCGGTAAGATGAGTCATCCAGGCCTGAGTCCTCCGAACTTGGGGACACGGTGGAGGACAGGGGGGGCTCCCTGGGCACGGGTGGATGAATCTCCCTTTGAAAGGACAGGAGGAATCCCAACTTAAGTTAAGATAAGCTAACACTAAAAGACCAACAAGGGCTAACAGTTGTGTTTCCTTTTCATTGTTTGAAGAGAATTTTTGACGTTGTTTTGTTATGGTTCTACCAGGTGACTAGTAACATCCAGTCATATTCATGCAGGTTATCATGTGCCAGAAGAAGAAGCAGATATGGTCTTTTGCAGCTATTTCTGTCCTTTCTATTCAAATCTTAAATGTCCATATAACATGATGGAAACTTAACAACGTCAAAAATTCCTCTTAAAACAATTGTGAAAAGGAAACACAACTGTTAGCCCTTGTTGCGTCTTTTAGTGTTAGCTTATCTTAACTAAGTTGGGATTCCTCTGTCCTTTCAAAGGAGATTCATTTCCCACCTTGCACCAGGAGCCCCCCCTGTCCTCACCGTCTCCCAAGTTCGGAGGACTCAGCCTGATGACTATCTTACCGCAGCCCCTGGAGGAGCCAGAGACCGTGTGGAGAGAGAGATCCGACTGACTCTGGAGAGAGAGGAAAAGGCACCGCAGGGAGAGGGGGCTGATTTGCACAGGGCCTGACTCATACCCAGGTAAAATGAACTACCATCACTATCACATGCAGCCTCGTAGACCGTTATATGGCTCTCAAGGCTTGTGACAGTGAAGAACCCAGACAGTTCAGTCAGATCACACTTTGTGGTGCAGTAAATGCGTTAAATGTATAGATAGGTTTTGCATGATGGAGTGTTACAGGAATGTGGGGATGGAGCAGGTTGGAGGAGGAACTGGGGGGGAGGATGCACACCATCTAACACTAGCTGTACGTTTGAATGAGATAGTCATGTCCACAATAATGGGACATGTTGAAAAATCAGCACAAAATGGAACAATATTAGCATTTCGTATGAAGTTGTGTTCTGGTCAGTATTTCACTCTCCTTTCAGCTCTAACCATAAGAGTTTTAAGCTGCTACATGCTCCACCATGTTCACAGCCTACTCACCAACAGTCTATCAGAGCGTTTTTTTTCTTCTGAAACAGACAGTTGTGTCTGTTACGATTGTTTCAGGCAAAAAAACCAAAAGAATAAAACTAAAAAAGCTTAAAACCACTCTGCAGAGCAGAGAGTACGAGTACAAGTGGTGAGTTGGTGATGGTAATCCATTGTTAATGTAACAGTTTTTATTAGTGCAGCTTACAAATATGAAATATCAAAATAAAAATCCCTAATAGCTGTATGATATAAAACTTAATTTCTATCCACTGTAACAGATTTGAAAAACAATCTATGGATGTTTCATTGTTCTGTCGACTGGGAAAAAAGATTGAGCCAAACTGGACCTTCATGTGTTTCAGACGCATCCACACCGCAGACGGACCGATCTCCCACCCCCCGACCTCCTTGCCTGCCGCATCTCTACTCTGTCCATCTCTCCTTCCCTTCCTGCTCCTCTCCTTCCCCGATCCGTCTACCATGAAAATTGAACCGCCAACAACGTCATCATCTGGAGCCCGAACTCCTCCCGGCTTCTGCCTCTGGAACGCGCCTACTCTTCCTCTTGCAATCGGAGGTCTCTCCGAACTTTGGCCGACGAGCCTGGAGTGGTGCCTCCGCCAAACGTCATTGTATAGAAAACCTCCAACCTGCATCATGTCGCAGTGCTTCCGAGTTTTGCCTTTGAGCTCTGCCCGTGGCCATGGAAACACAGCGAGAGCACTTTTCTCGTCAATCCGTTTTTTAAGCTGCGCTCCTCAGCAGCCAGTCGCTTGTTGGAGCAGGAGATAGATCAGGATGGTGAGAGAGGGAGAAGAGTGGAAGGAGGGAGGGAGGAGGTGGGGAGGAGAAGAGAGAGGAGTGGAGGAGAGGGAGAGAGAGGTACGACACCAGTGGCTGTGTCTCAGGCCTGAATGATTAAGATCAGTTAACAAGCGGTACGGTATTGTCCACATGTTCTAAATTACTGGAAAATGAATTTGGGTGTAGGCTGTACTCAGATAACTCCACTTTCAGATGATGGTGTGTGTACCTTCATGAATACCAGTACAGAGCGTGGCAGAATGAGTTTTTTTTGAGTTTTGGTTCTATAATTATATATAATATTTTCCCAGTGTAATCAAATGGTCTTTTTGTGTCCTTCATTTCACCTTCATACACTAGTGCCAGAGGTTTCAGACAGATGTGTCTCCTCGCCTTCGTCCCCTCCAGAACCGCAAAATGGAACGATCCAGTTTTGTCTTGTTGACCAACAAGGTGCTTAACATAACACACACACATACCACACCTAGGGGCTGGGTATAGAACTTGATACTTTTATGGACCGACCAAATAAGTTTGATACTATCAAGGCATCAAAAAATGCCTCATATTTTGAAACCTGAGAGTAAATGAGAAAATCTGCGTCAGTGAACCAATCAGCATGCTAAGCTTGGACCAAGATCTAATAAAGCTGGTGATTGGCTGTTCATTTACACAATGTTTAAAAGAGACTGAGCTTAAAAACAAAAACTAAAACTAAAATGATATACAATAATGTGATTGTAATTTTCTTTCTGTTAAAATGAAATTTATAAATGGTATAGAGGAAGTTATATAAGCAGCTCCTATCCACAAACGCACATCAGTCTATCTGGAACAGAGTTGCCTGATGCGTCTTGGTAATGGAGTGCCACACTCTATAGTTACATGCACATGAGTTTTAAAAGTACTGGCCATCTGTCCAATAGCTGTGTTGTAACCTCTGCTTCCTGAGCAAACTTGTTTACTTATTTAAGAGATCCAGAAATAGTAAACAAAATAGACAAAAATCGCCTTGTGCTAAAACTGAAAAAAAATTAATGTAGGCAAAGTGACAGACTGTTACAATGTAAACAACGTGCTGCAGACATGTTATCGCCCTCACACAAGTAGCTTTGACTATCTCCAGGCTGTTCTCCGTCTTTAGAGATTCTCTCTCTCTTCAACTCGAATTCTGTATCATTCATTTAGAGCCATACATTGTGTTAACATGCACGGAAGAACCAATTAACGCAGGTACTTGGAGATTAACATCTACATGCAGTGTAGTAACATGAAATCTGTGAACACATCGGGCAGGTCTTTACTCAAAAGATTCTCTTATGTTGGAACCATTGTTTACTTTTCTAAACTGTATCAAGTGGACAGAAGATGCACAGACATGTCTGGAGGATACTCTGTGCTAGTTTCAGTGTTAGTTGAATTAACTTTAAATACAAAGACACTCTGTGTAGTTCTCCCTTGTAATAACCCCTGGTAGGCTGTTACTCCTCCTGTAGTTCTTTTGTCATGCATGTGTGTACATGTAAAAAGCTTATTAGAAACCTGGTTCATTATGACCAAGAAAAAGCTCTGGCAGGAAGAATTTCCACCTAGGTTTCCCCTTACTCTGAAGTGTTGCTCACTGTGGGAAACTGTTGGGTTTCTCTCTATAATAAAAGTGGTCTTGACCTTCCCTATAAAGTGGTGCTTAGATGCTTCTTCATTAGGGGACCAGGCAACTGACAAGTCTTAGGCTACAGCCACACTACTTACGTTTTAAAACTCATCTCTTTTGGTACGTTTCCTCCTGCCTTCCACACTACTCGGGAGTTATTTGACACTGAAAAACTGAGACTTTCAGAAACTCTGGCCAGACCCGTTTTATTTTGAAAAACTCTGGGGTTGTGTTGTACTTGACTGACAGAAACTGAGACCTTTGGAAACGATGACATAAAACAACCACGGTCTCTCCTGATTGGCTCTCATCAGCCTCAACTACCAGTGGTGAATACAACATGATAATGAATTACAGTGCTTACTGAACCTTGTTGTCTTAATGCTACAACTTTCTTTACTGTTCCTCATTCAGAGGATTTACTGTAACTAACAACTGCAGAGTAGACAAATCTGCTTCCTGTTTACACTGGCTTGCACATGCTCAGTGTAGGTGAATGGTAATGTACGTATGTGTTTTCAGGTGTGGACAGGGATAGTTTTTGTTTAAAAAAGCTGCTTTGCAATGAAAACGTAGTAGTGTGAACATAGCCAAGGGGGGTAAGTAAATAACAGAAACACCTCATATAACCAAATGTAATATAGTTCAACAGCAACACAATCTACATCCTCAAAATAATTACAGTTGTAAGTACAGGGTCTACTGCAGGACTGTTGTGTTAGACTGCATTAAATACAATAGCTAGGTGTTCCTAAATAAATTCGCCGACTGCCATTGTTTTATAAAATACTGATAAATAATAGTAATATTCACTCCATTATTCCTGATACAAACATTCAATATAAAGACTTTTGGACAGTGGCACTGTTAAACTGATTTTATTTTTGTTGAATTGCGTCATGTATCAGTACATAACATAATTTTTTGGAGATTTCCATGTTGGATAATTGATTTCTTCCTTACTCATTCACTCATTTGTTACTTTATTAATTGTGAACTTTCTGATTTGTTAATCAGTGACTGATTAATTTTTAATTCATTAGTTCAGCAATTTAGCAAATATATTCATTATTCAGCTAATTTTTTCATCTACCCATCATACTGCATCCATCTGCCCAATAATTCCTCCAACTGTCCCGTCTGTTTCATTCTTCTTTTTCAAAATCCATCGATTTCCATTATTATGATCATCCATCCATACCATCCATCCATCTTGTTCCAGTGGTTTGCTGAATCTCCCCCCTCCTCCAGTTCCCCCTTCCCTCTCTTCGTGCTCAACGACAGAACGCATGGCGCAACGATGGAGCCTCCCTATTACCAATCAGAAGAAGGATTGAGGCAACGACAGCCATTTAAAAGCCAAAATGAAGTCCCACACCTTTGTTTATTCCTCTTACTTTGTCCTTAAAACTCACACATTCCTGTCTGTCAGGCAGCAGAAGGCTCCTGCAGTGTCTGTCCAAACTGTGGTTAGAGCCAGTGGGTCTATGAGTCTGTTTTCTGTGGGATGCCACATTAGAAGAGAAGAGGCTGCTTCTTTCAGTAA